ATATTTGAATCCTACGAGTTTCGAGTAACGCGCGATGCACAACGTCTTGTCCGGCGGGATCGTGATCGTTATTTGCTATATTGTACAGATACAAAATTTCCGAGATTGCAATTGGATCTTAGGAAGACGAAGGGGAAGACCTCGTCCTGTCCTGCAAGTACAACTAGGCCCACTGCAGTATGTGTATGTCCAAATTACCTTTGAATTTTTACAAACAGCGTCGCACTTCACGAAGATGTCATAGTAGGAGCTCATGGGCTTATTTGACTTTCTGTGGCATAATATGTTGCGCATGGTGTTGCGGCGCTCCTGCGGCTGAAGCTGCAGAACCTCCTGGACCGGCCCCGGTTCGCGCCGGGCTGACGGAAGACGGACCACCGATCCCCGTACTAGTACCGGCATATCGACCAGAAAAGTACATCCCCCCATATCAGAAGTCATGCTGTTTATTTCTGTGTCACAAACACAAAAACTATCACTATGCCTTGTGTTAGCTATTGAGCATGACAATTCTTTTGAAGGCTTTTGTCACTCTCGCGGATCAGCATAGTGACAGAAAAATAGCAACGCAACTTCTTTTCTTTCTGGTATGGGTGTGCAGCTTATTTCCTCTAGAATACGCCACTAGCACCGCTAAAGTTGTTTCCCTGCTTGTTCTGGTGATGAGGCGGGTGCGCGCTCGAAGAAGGCCCCCCTACCACGTTTTTCTTCGCTGGCTTCGAAATTCCGTACAGCCCCATATTAGGAATGAACTCCTCATCCTCCTCCACGGATCTGGCCTGTGAAGATGAAAACAAGTCCTATCAGTATCAAACGCCTATTTCTGGCATTAGAGGACACAAGATGGTTCTGAAGTAAGATCAAAATCCTAACCAAAGATGACTCTTTCTCTTTCTACAAGCTCCAGTTCCACCGCAGAAGCGAATCGTTCAAAATTTCAATTTGATGCAGCGAAGCTGCGATTAAATGATTCCCCTAGCTCCTCGAGTTTTTCGTTCTCATGCCCATAATCATACACATACGATACTCCTGGAAGTAAGTACTCAGAGCGGAAATGGATAGAACTTTTCGTTTTCATTTTCATAAGGGTCGCATGTTGCGCATCTGTTGCGCCACACTCGGCATTTCTTTCGAGGAGTTGGTCTTCGACGAGAGGTCGTACCGATCCCGCATATGAGGGCTCCCATTCCGCCCGCCGCTGCAACCCTCGCTCGAGTTGTGTTTGTCGCTGTCAGAAAAGTCGTGGGAACTCTTTGACGTTTTGTTTGTGTAGCTTTTCCGATTCGAAGGAACAGATGACGCAGCACCAACGGGTGGACCACGACCGCTAACAGCTTCCTTATTTCCGACACTCTTTTCCTGATGCACAGCCGCAGTTTCCGCTCCCGGACCTCCACTTCCGACACTGCCCTTTCCTGCGCCACCGCATAAACCCCGCCCTGTGGTAACGGACTTTTTGTGCTGCTGCTGCTGGTGTGCAACGTTGCTGGTCGCTCGATCCCGACTTTGATGCCGAATGTTGCTGGGAAGTTGATATAAGCGTGCAGGTGCACATCACCTCCCCCTCGATACCCTCATTTGCGTGATACCAACAGCAACACAAGCGTTTTTGGGGTTGATAAAGCAAAGGAAGCTGCAGGAGCTTTTGCATGACAAATTCGTATAACATGATTCTAGTGCTGTTTCGGCTCCCGGAATATGCCATGCAAACAGTGCCACAAGGCAGCGAGAGCGGCCCGACCGGAAATTAATGGAATTGACTTTTTGCATGACAAATTATAAGGGGGGCGAGGCAGGTTGATGTGCACTCTCTTCATAGTTGCTCAGGGTCCGACATCGAGCAGCTGGTCTCTTTGGACGTAGACTGCTGCTGATTCTGCTGCATGTAATTATGGTACGAGTCCTGAGTTTGCTGCAGCTGCTGCTGTGTTCCTCCTCCTGATCCTCCTGCTTGTTGCACGACGCTGCGACCAGTTGCACTATAATTTCCCCGTATGACGATCGGGCCGCCTGCTCCTGCTGCGACGTCAAGATGCATCTGTTGTTGCGGATCGCCCATCCCCTGCTGTTGACCGCGCTCCTTGCTGTCGTCGCGCCATAGTTGGTCCGGACTCAGAATTGGGAAACCAGCTCCCGGCTCCCCCGCGCCTGCGCCCCCCGTCGGGTCCTCGACGCTCGCCTGCACTGTGGCCAGCACCTGCTGCATCTTCTTCTGCTCCTTGTTGCCCCCGCCGAAGATCCGAAACGACGTCGACCGCTGGTTGCTGCGCCGCATGCCGTCCAAGGTTGCTATCCCAAGCGAAAAAGCGTGCGTGCGCGGTGGATTACTTATTTGGTTGCCGAAGAAATTTCTTTACAGTGCTTTTGAGTGCAGCATTTCTATCTTTCGAGTGGAGTCGCGCTTTTCATCATTTTCTAGCTGGTGCGCATCTAGGTCTGGGGTGCTCGATATTGAAGACACGAACCATTTTTGTAGAAATATTGCGCCTTCCACCGTATCTGCAATATGCGAATCGTTGTAGACGGTCCATGCTTCATCTTTGCACCAAGAATGTAGTCATGCTTGTGGCGTGAAACAAAATGCAATCCAGAAGCCACGGAAAATGAAAATCAAGCTCCTGCCACACTAAAAAATGCGCACACGCCCTTCCGGCTTCCGGGGAGATAATTGTAGTGTTCGGACTGTTGGCATTGACACCGCCGGGATGATTCGCGCCTCCCGCTCCCGACATCGCTCCACCAACATTGATATGGATTGCAAAAATGTATGGGTCTGGAAAAATGCCAGTTTTGTCATGCTCTGCTAGCATGACTGTCAAGCCTGTCATGCAAGGTACCCAAAAGCGCCACTTTTGTGTCATGCAAAAACCCAGTTTCTCATGCAGAATACGCAACACCAAGCGACTCAAAAACCTGTCATGCTGAGCCGTCATTTCTGGCGTTCTCTTGATTCGCCAACCAGCATCACAAGTTTCCAGACCCAGACATTTTTGCAATTCATAATTGAGCATGTTTCCGGTCGCCCCCATCACGACTCCCCCCGATTGGTGCAGCCCCGATATCAAATGTAAAAATGTCTGGGTCTGGAAGAATCCAACTTGTCATGCTGATTTTGGATTCTAAAAAAATCTGCATTGCATGAGCAGCAAAGAGAGTCCAAGTTTTGCAACACGGCAAGAGCATTTGTCATGCGGTATAGGCATCAGGAAGCCCTCACAAAATCTGTGATGCTAGGGCATGCATCACAGACATCAGGAATCATGCAAAATGTGCATGACAAACCTGGCAATCTTCCAGACCCAGACATTTTTACATTTCATACCCGAGCCGCCTACCCCACTGATCATACCCGTATTGCCCACCCCAAAGCCCCCGGTGGGCTCGTTTCGGGCGGCCATGGTGCTGCGCCGTACGTTGTTACCAAACCCGCCTGGCTGCTGCTGGTGATGCCCGGGCACCACGAGCTGCTGCTGCTGCCGCGGTATGCAAGTTGGAAAACTTCTACGCGTTTCTGTCCTGGTGGCTGGGGGTGGAACTAAAAGGCTTCATCGCGGACCAATCATGTACCACTGTGAGTTCTTCTTTGTTTTGTGTTGTAGTCAAGAAACCCATGTCAATGCCTCCCACCAAAAGACCTTTATCAGCACGACGCTGTACTTTCTTGTATCATGTGTACCCTGAAATCATATTGTGCATTTTGCGATGTGCTACTACGGAAAAAATGCATATAGATGTATGAACGAAACGCCGCACTCCCGCAATCCTGTCGGATTCGAAAGCACGTGCTTCCTTGCCTCATGCACGATCGCTCTGTGATTTTAGCGAAGACAGAGGGACAAAGACAAACCGAAATGGAAATCGCTGTCGCAAATCAAATATAACAACAACATCCGCATCGCAATTCTTGAAGCCTACTTCCCCGGACCCAGACGCATGCACATCCGTACAATTTTCCAGGCTGGATACGCATGCGCTCCAGCTCGAACCGCATGCGCTCCAGCTCGTCCGCGAGCGCCTGGTGCTTGTCATCGTCCGGAGAGGTAGACGAGTGGTGGTGCTGCACGTTCGACTGTTGGGGTGCGAACCCGGAGTAGTTGTCACTCATTTTCGACAAAATAATCAAAGATAAAACTAGAAGATCAAGATTAGCAGGGAAAAATCAGAAATAAAAATTTATTCAGCTTAAGCACTTTCTTCAAAGTCGAACTAAGACCTCGAGCGATCGAAGAAACACACCTACAGTAAACGGTGGAGCTGTGCCAATTATTATTCTTCAGGTTCAACTTCTCTTTGCTTCAGGGAATCGTGGTCAGACCGATGAAAGTTGAAGTAGAAAAAAACAAATGCACCGCCGAGTGCGGTTGCGCTCCTCACACCTCCTGCAACGGTAGGAATAGTTTCTTCGAATACTTTATTTACCTTGCCCAAGGTGCTTGTGGTGAAGAAAAAAAGGACCAGAATCGATTGCATGCTTGGCACAACAATCGGGGATGTAAATGTAGGTGCTCAGGAACAACTTCTACCGAATAAAGACAGAGAAAACTACCACACCAACAGCGCTCAACACGAAACAGGACAAAACATTACCAAAAAGCTTCGACTTGAAGGACCGACAAGGAATGTCACTAAACCGAAAAAACGACTTGACACAGACTGCTGGTACTCATAGATCAATTGCAATACCCAAAGCCGGGCACTTTCTTGCTTTAATATCAATGTTTCTGACTGGAACAGGAAGATTCACCGACTCCGACGTCGAGCACTGTTCATCCACAACAGAAAACAAGATGAACCAAAATCCTTTCTCTTCATCGCATGCAAAAACAGTCACGAAACACCTGCCGACACACGGCACACTCCTGTCTTGCGCCTCAAAGAGCACAGGCTGGCTCCTCGTATTTGAGGTGAGTAAAACCGCGACGCGCGTAGAGAGAACACAATCCACAGGATCTCCACCTTCCTGCTGGTTCCTACGGGCATAAACCTGCCACCGAAACACAATACTTCGCCGATCTTTCATGATAACCTGCCTGGCATTCCATCGGGGAGATGGAAAGCCACGTCGAATCTTTGTTTTAAAATCGGAAATCCAAATACTGTATCCTCAAGGATTATTTCCACACTTTTTCGATCTTAATCATTGGGGATGACATTCATGGCACGTTGAATTCGAAGTCGCGCAAGACGAGCTTGCAACGAAACTCGAATTCAACGAATGTTGTGTGACCGAAAAGTTCTGGAAGATGCTGGGAGCAGTGGAATCGAGAAACATGATTCTGCGTCATTTTTATTTGCAAGAAAAAAAAGTTCAGTCGTTAGTTTAAGTTTTATAGTTTAATACGTATAGAAATTCGTGTAAAAGAATATTAGGCTCCTTGAAAATGTATTTAATTATAATGAGTACATGATCCTTAGTGTGTCATATTTTTAGCTACTTCTTCGCACAAGAAAGCAAAAATCCCTCGCATACTCGACAGTGCCACTTAGAAACTTTACATAGGAACAATCTTCCTTCAAACGTAACTGATCGTATCGAATGAATGTGAATTTATAAAGACACGCGATGATGTTGATGAAAACCAATAAACAATTTATCGTGACCAAGAGAACGTTGAAATAAGTGCTGACCTACTCAATTGTACTAGACGTAGAAGACGAAAGTCGCAAACGCAACAACACTGATCGAAGATGAGAGCGTCCTCTCAGTGCGACCAGCACGACTGAGCACGTCACGCGACTTGCAAGAAAGACCGGTTGGCAGCACGACCGGTGGAGCCGTGCTGCCGAGAATTCGTCCCCGTTTGCGCAATGTGCAAATTCAATTTGGCTTTGAGACGCTCGACATCGTTGTGCAATTGCTTGGCGAGTTCTACCAGAGACTGGTGGTGGTCCGTGACGTGCTTCTGCAAGTACTCTTCGAGGTTCCGTTATCAAAGGGAAAAATCCCCCCTCCCCATATCGAAATGGAAATCTGTGATGCAGGATTTGGCTACACAAATCGGACTTGTCTTGCAGTAAGGCATCGCAGCCAGGTCCTCGGCCTAGGTAGGGGCGTATAGGTCTAGTTGCTTAGCATTGCAAACGGGTGCCCCCTAGGCGCAACAGCATGCCAAATCGCTTCCATAATGGTGCGGAAGCCTCTGCGCCTGTCTTCTTGCAAGACAGACGTGATTTGTGACCTCAAATCAGCAACACAAATTTTCGGAAACATACCTTTTCGATATGGGGAGGGGGGATTTTTCCTCAGAATATCCGTTGAGTCTCCGTTTGTTCCGTTTCCACGTAGGTTTTCACCCCTTGAATCTCCTTCTCGACGTGAGTAAGCATCCTTTGCACTTCCTGAGCCACATTATACTCCTCGCCGACATGTTGATCCTTCTGCGGTGGTCTGGTGGCCACGTACAACTGGTCGCCCCCATGTTGATCCTTCTCGTCCCACCCGGTGCCCGTGCCCAGGGACCGCGCCGAATGGAGTTGAGTTTCGTCCGTGGTGCCGTCCTTTTCATTTGGGACGAGTACAGTCGATTCTGGACTTGCAGCTCTCTCCAATTCCAGCAGCGACGGCGCTTCCGGGACGAGCTGCGCGGGTTCATGGGTCGTGGCGCTGGCGTTCGTGACCTGCACAAAAGATGTGCTGCTTGTTGTACCGACTGAGCTCGGCTGCAGAGAATTCGTCTGCAGGGGCCCGCTGTGCAGCGTGTGGTCCAATTTCGCCTCGAGGCTCTTCATGTCGCCACGCAACTCCGCGGCTAGCTGCGAAACGGACTGATGAAATTCCGTCACGTATTTGTGCACGTAGTCTGCGAGGTTGTGCCAATTCGCGGTTTGTTCGTCTGCCACGTATTGTCTCATTTCTTTCACTCGTTCATTCACAAACTGGTCGCCCGCGTTCTTCTGCTCGTCCACGTGGTTGGATATATCGGACAACCACTTGTCCACAAAGTCGACGAGGAGGTCTTGCGCAGAATTCATTGGAATTTGCTCCCTGGTGCCAGCCCTGTAGTTCCTCACGATCACGGTCGGACTTCCGCTCGTCAGTCCCACTAGCGAAGCGGCGTGGTGGGTTCGTGTCGTGACTAAACCCGCGGCGGCCGCCCCGCCACCACTCGACCCCACGGCCCGCGGACTTTCATTGTCGCTTGGTCCAGCGGGTTCTTCTTGCGACTCAAAGGCGCTGCTTGTGTTTGCTGCGGTGCTCGTGCTGCTCAGACCACCATCTTCAAGATTGACTTATCGTGGCGAACAGAAGAGATACCGAGCCCCTAGACCTCTGGCTCTTTCCTCGTCGTGACAATGTAGCGGGCCGAGGCCGACTACTCTTTGTATTGATTTGACGCAGCAGAGCTGATGGTGCCCTGCATGCTTGTCAACAAGGTATGGTAGGTTTTTTTCATATTTCTATTGCGGAGCCTCTTCTTCGTGAAAATGATTCGCATTCGCGGCAATTGCTGCAACGCGGCCTATTTACAAACATAAACTATGCAAGCAGGTGCAGCAAACCAGAAATACTTAACCTAAAGTTCTTGCGGTCATCGATATCAAATTTCTCACGACGTACTGTTGAGGGGGAGTCATTGCCGCAACATCCTCGTTCCAGCAGCGACGTTTCGGGGAGATCTGGCGATATGCCTGACCTTTTCTCCGTAAAACTGGTCCCCGCCATGGGACGGTGCATGAGTGGTAGTGTGTGCGTCCGATCACCAAAAGCATCATTGCCCGACCGCCCCAGTTATCGCGCAGAACAAAAACACCGAGCCCTAATTGCATTAATTCTTATTCCAGTTGATATCTACGCCTACTCCATCAGACGGCCGAGCCTGCCCTGCCCGGACTAAAGCAACAGCTGTGTCCACTTCTTCTGAAAACAGAAGGGCTCCTTCAGTTGCTGTAAAATGAGTCGGCAAGCGTACCTTCTCTGTCTTTCGCTTTTCCACGCTAAGCATACTATTCTACTCCTCATGTTGCAAGATTTATAAATATGCAAAATTTGGTGAAGCGAGCCACAAGAACGTTGTACTCTGCAAAGGAATCGGAATGAGAATCTGCGATTCGGGTATCTGTCTCAAATTTTTCGCTTGATATGGACACTTGTGGTCGTGCCCTAACCGGAGAGGCTACCGATCGGAGCATGGCTTGTTTTTCAGGAGAATCAGGACCCTGTTCGTGGTGGAAGGACTTAAGATGATAACCATGTGAGATATCAAGACAATCACAGGCTGAATTTCGAACTCGTCCGAAGCTTGCCACTTAAATGATATGCCAAGAAGACAAAAGCGAAATCATCATCATCATCATCATCATCGTCTATCCTGCACTGGAAAGGCGTGCATGAGGTTTAGGGTCCTGCTCGAAAGACAAAAAAAGGATAGAAAAGCAAAATGGCGCACTCCCACTTTAACAAAGCAACTAGTGTCATCATCATGTCGTAACCCATGCCAAAAAAGCACAGATGCGTACTTACCGGCAAGCCATCGCCAAGTGACTGCGCCAAGCCAAAGCGCCCATTTGTACTAGGTGCACTACTCGCCGCCGACACTTCCACTTGCGTTTGCCCTGGACGCGTCCCGCGGCTTTCGCTCCTGGTGCTCCGAGTTGCGCCAAAAGATGAAACATGGTGTGGGGGCCCGCGGCCGGCTCCACCTCCTCCAGCAACATCATCATCATGTCTTGCCTCTTTCCTTGCTTGAGTTTCACGGCGAGCACCACGTATAGGAACAGATGCAGAGCGCTGTAATCATGAAATTTTGCACCATGTTTGTGATCGAAGTTGTTGTTTTCTTTGTCTGAGCAGATGATGTGAATGGTGGTATGCGCATGCGAAGTCACGATTCTTTCGGTTCCGGATCTACCCAGAGGCTGAGATAAATTTCAAGCATGTATCCGTTGAAACACGGACCTGATCCAGAATGCTCCTCGTCACTGTTTATGTAAACTAAGTGAACTTCTGCAAAAGGAGACTAGTAAACAGGCCGATGCTCTTCAAGGAAAGCACGCAAATAGCGGAAGATGAAGATCTCCAAGAACTTGATATATCATACATAAAGCAAATATATCGTACACACAAACATTTTTAAGGGATCCGACGTGAAAATAAAGAACTGGCGCGCGAGCAAACACAGCCCTAGCCGACCGAGTGAATAGTAGTCATTTCCATCATGAGCACTTCTTTCAGCTAGCATACAGCTGCTAAGCACTCTTTTTACGTACCTGTTGCGATTCGCCGAGCATTGTAGTGCGAGAGCTTTCGACCGGTCCCCACTCCGAAGGCCCAGACCCTTGGCGCGCTTTTGATTTTGGTCTCGGCGGTCCATTGAACGCGGTCACAGGCGGATTGGCCTGCAGTGGTGGTTTTGGCAAATCGAAATTGTATTTCTATTTTCCGCTGTCTCCTGTGCAAACAAAGCCTGACACGACAGTTACGATCGCAAAGAGTGAACGCCTCTGCATGATCATAATCATCTAACTGCATTGTCGGGAGCGTGCAATGGCTTGGGTCCTGGTTCTACTTCAAGTGTTTGCATGTCTTAGTCAGGGCACAGCAAGACATGCTACGATTAGTGGAGTTTCGTGTTCATCTAGTATAATCCAAAACCAAATGCCAATCTGGGTCATTGCATTGATTAATGTGCTCAGGATAAAAAAAGAACAAGGACCCAAAAGCGACCAACTCACGACGGAGCTACTTCGAGACAGCCAGGACATCGCTAAGACAGCCAAAGTCAAAGAAATTGCAGACTGCCACTGCGCGGCACAGGAATACGAAATTGTGCCTCCGCTACCCCCATGTGGAAACGAATGTCGCAGTGTTCGCTATGCGCGAACTCGAAATTGCCCCGTGAAGATTTTTCGGGCCTTCTTCTTGCAACTGCAGTTGACTGGATTCGCAAGAACCCTTTTTATTACTTACGCTTGGCAGAACAAGAACGGGATCAGCTCGCAACGGAGCTGCACCAAGCCAGTCCAGATTTTTTTCTTAGAAGGTAGAGACCCTTGACCTTCTTGCGCGGTTTCTTTAGTATTGAAGTACGTCTACAAACACCTACACGACCACGACGCATGATGCGCAGATATGTATATATTTTTATAAAGCATAATTTGTACCGCTGACCGTGACTCTCCGAGCGCAACTCCAGGTGGCGGCGAAATCGTGTTCGTCGTCCTGCAACCTCCCGCTGTCGTTCCTCCTGCAGCACCAGGCCCCCGATTTTGTGTCACGAGGGACGCCGTCTGCTGCCCCCCGCCCATGATCTTCAGCTCGCGAACTTGGTTCTTCAAAGACTCAATTTCCTCCTTCAAGCCCGCGACGCTTTATTCAGCCGTTCTTGGATCGCTTTGGCGGCCGTGAACCTGGCTCTTCAACGACGCCACCTCCTTGTTGAGTCCGCCTGCCAAGGCCGTGACTTGCTCCTTCAGATCGGCGATCTCTTTCGCTTGCTCATCGACGATTTCACTCATGCGTTCCTGTGACTCGCCACGCCTTCGAACATCGAGAGCTAGGTCGATACTATGGAAGGGACGAAGTAGATGATCCAGCAGAAAGGTGCGCTGCCAACCCCGAACGACAACGAACCGCCGCCGCCGAAGTAACAGTAAGTAAAAAAATAATCTGAAGGCGCTGCAAAAGGTATAGATACGTTCACGATTCATCTCCCTTTTTCATCTGTGGGAGGCTCACAAACCACACCCCCGGCATGTGCAGGCGCTAGATGGGCCGCGGGCGCTTCGCGAGGCTGGTGGAAGTTTGCCTTTGCGCACGCTCGCTACCTACCCCATCTGGGATAGCGCTTTTGAATTTGATGCGATTTATCTCTGCTACCACGAATCCCGGCGATAAATTTTTCTTTTTTCGTGTTTGGTTTTACCCTTGCACCGATCCTGGCTCGGCCCTTTCGCTGGCACTCTGTCGATGCGCGCGGCTGAACAGTAGTGAACCACCCTAGGCCTGTGAAAGCGAAAACTTCTAAGTATCACAATCACAGCTCGAACTGCATTTTTTGCGTTGCAGACACTATGCTCAAAGTCGTCCTGCTCCCGAAGCCGCCCCCGCCGCGTGGGCCTAGATAATTTTCGCTAAAAGTGCCGGCTTAAAAGCGAAACAGGTCGGTTGATTGTTAAGACGAGGCCAGAACGCAATCCTAATAAGTTGATTCTCGTTCTCCGACCCATAAATACTACTGGAACTGATACAGAGTTAGCGTGACCCCAAACAACTCCTTGAGTCTAATAGGCGCTAGGAGGACCAACCACGAAACCGCCGCGCCGAGCTGCCCGAGCGCTACTGCAAGTCTCACTCGCCATCAAGAAAATGGATAGCTCGCGCAACGCGCTTCAAAGTAAGTGGGAGATGAAAAGCCCCTGCAAAACAACCTTGTCCAAGTACGACAATGCATCACATGGGAGTAGATTGATAGGATACTAGTTTTCATATAAAAAACGCATATCCGTAGAGTAGCAGTAGCAGTCACGATTCCGAAACAAGATCACCCATTTTTCCTTCATATTTAAACCTGGACCTCACATCTTCCTTGACCTCCTTCACGAGAGCATCAACACCATCCATCTTCTGAGCAGCCATCTCGAAATCCTTCAACTTCATCTTTGTCTCGTGTTGTTCTTTGCTATTCTCCGTGCGCATTTTGCTATTCTCCATGCGCATTTTGTCCAGCTCATAATTGATGTGCGCTTCTAAAGTATTCAAGCCCACTTTTGACGATTCGCTGATGATATTGGAACGCTCCATCACTTTATCCACGATTTTCAGTGTAGTTTCCACCTGGGGCATTTCACGGGCAAGGAGACGGTCGAAATTCCGGTCACTGAAGCTGTCGTGGACCTTCACCTTGTGGTATTCCGTCCTCCCGTCTTCTAACTCTTCAAACACCTTCACATAGTAGGGGCTATGCTCGTAATTCATCCGGTCGTCGTCGTCATTCTGAAGGTTCACGTCATTTGAGGTGGCTGGATCTGAAACGTCAACCACGGGGACTTCATGTTGTGGCCAAAGACCACCAAATGCACTAAATGCGCCAGCAAGTCCACTAAAAGCGCTAGCGATACCACCATCATGTTGCGACAGCACCCCGCCTTTGTCTTGTTGACGTTGTGGCGGGTTTTGCCGCTGGTGCAAGTTCCGCTTGTCTGCGTCCGGGGGATCTAACCGATTATATGTCACGCCCGGTTGTTGTTCAGGGCCGCTCGTTTCTCTCGTCGCTGCCTGTACCCTGGGCCTAGAAGTAAGCCAAAACAACACACAGGGGGATACAAAAATGCGCACGATCGGCTTTCTCATCTTCGTATGACACGTTGTTGTACACTACAACGGGGTCACGGCGCAGTCGCAGTTTTAGTAAAAGGAGGCACTACTACCGAACGCTAGTTTGGTGAAGTGAGCGCTACCACAGGTTTTGAGTCCTCGACGACGATCCAAAATTACGGCCGCTTTTCTGAAGATGACGATATGAGTCGGCTTCGTCGGCTATTGTCTCCTCTTGCGTTGCCCAGCTGATGGAGTTGTGTTGGAGGAGACGTTCTTTTACATTTTTATTTCTTTGCTGCAGTAAAGGCAAAAAGAAAAACGGCTCGGACGAGTTACATGTAGGTAAAAATACCAGAATAGGCTCTTTGAGTTGGTAGGTTGCTTCACGATGTAATTCTAGTACCGGTATCAAATGGAGAGGACCTGCTCAGATTGACATTAGTAATGAAGAGTTCTCTTTAAATCGACGTTGATTTCCATTTCACGTACGACGAATCCACAACGAACATACATGTATCATCAACGACAAGACCGAATCCAGAATCCTTGAAGACAGAGCAGAGAGAACGATCATGCTGTTGACACGACAAAAGCAAAACAACGTATCTTCCAAGATAAAGTTTACCAGCATAACCGAGGAGCATCTCTTTGTTTAAGTTTTCTTTCAAACAAATCATTCACGGACGAAGCGATCAGAGGTACGAAATACCGAGAGAGCACCTCATAAGCGCAACACGATAAAAGCTAATTTGTAACGTAAACGAGAATTCGTTTACGAGGACGACGACAGAAATACAGGCAACAGAAGCGCCACCCATCCTCCTCTTCCTTGTGAACGACGACCGACGATTATGTATGGTCAATGACATCAAAGGCGAACACATTTTCACACCTTCCTTCTTCAGTGAAAACAATAATGCCGTCATCGTACGACGAGGCAAGCCCAGGCTTGCACTTTTCTATGTGAAAGTGACCACTCGTCAGGCACTTTTTCTTCTCCCCAAAGGTCGCGGACGGGGCGGGTTCGAAAATCTAGTCCAGTCGCTTACCATGCTTAACAGGTGTCAGAAAAGAATTGCAATTCCTCCACTTGTTCCTTGGAAGGAAGTAAGCCCTACTTGACCGTCCTCTTGTTGTAATCCAATAGCAGCACATGTCGACGAGAAGGAGAACATCAGATACTACTGATTCTTCGATCTCCACGTACTCGATTGCTAACGTTCCAGCACAGAACGCCGTTCCGTCGAGGAGAAGCGATACATACTGTAAGTCGTAACATTCGGAGCTAAGTAGAAGAGATCTTTCCTGCCTCTGCATATAGTATTTCTTCTTGTTCGCGAAAAAATGCAACAGTACTTTTTTCCAGCAGCGAAGCGACAGTCTGCGCCCTGATCCTACGAGAAGCGGTTTAATAGCCGTCGAAGTTCGCCTTCTTGCATAGGGGTTTTATGCTGTCGTCGTGATACCCAAAAATTATTCAGGAGAAGTAATGTACTGTGATGAAAAGAAGGAAATGCTGCTTAGCGGTGTTGGGAGGACAGAGCACAAGAGATCATCTGCTCTGTCACCTACACAAAGTGATCGTTGTAACAATTTTACAATGGATAAAGTGCGGCTAAAAGCAAATCTTCAAGTTCATCTGGGGGGCGGAATGTTTGTCTTGCCTGAATAAACGAAAGTGGTCTGTAGCGCTGGGGGGTGACACTCCTACATGCTCTGCTTGGGCTATTCACGGGTGTAGCTCCTAAGACTTTGGTACTCGTTCATAGCCCAGGACAACAATCATTCGCTCTTTTCGTTTTTGAGTAATATCAATCCTGTAACAAAAAAATAGCTACAGGCATAGAAGTTCTTCAGGCGGGCGGGTAGTGCTTGATGAATTGCTCTGATTTTTGTGCTGCGAAAGAGATCTAATAAAGCGATTTCTGGTATAATAAGAGACATACTTATGCGAAAATTGTGATGTTTTAGCTATTTGGTTCTGAAAAAGAGTGTCGAAAGAGTGAAATTGGATCTTTGCCAACGTAGTTCATCCAGATTTGGATCGTCTTGAAACCGCCGTGGCGAAACCACAAAAGAGAGTGGATCCGCCATTTTTCTTCTGTTCTTGCAAGGAGAAATTGAAAGTGCGCAACATCGAAGAAAAAGACGAGAAAAACCAAGAACAAATTACTTGGCCATCATCATCTTGACGAACTCCTCGTAGTTGATCTGCCCATCACCGTCGACATCCGCCTCCCGGATCATCTCGTCGACTTCTTCGTCAGTCAGCTTCTCACCCAAGTTGGTCATCACGTGACGCAACTCCGCGGCGGAGATGAAACCGTTGCCATCACGATCGAAGACCTGTGGGCGTGTGCGACATCAAAAGTCGTTAAGGTTCAATTTCTTGTTATTGCCAAATCATGTTCAAGCCATTGCCATTTCAGCCTTGTTTTAAGTACTTATTCTTATTATAGAAATATCTGATTTTTTTTCATCAAAATCAAGAAATGTCAGTACCTTGAACGCCTCGATGAGCTCCTCCTCCGTATCGGTGTCCTTCATTTTCCGGGCCATTAAGGACAGAAACTCCGGGAAGTCGATGGTTCCGTTACCATCGGCATCGACTTCGTTGATCATGTCCTGCAACTCGGCCTCGGTCGGGTTTTGACCTGAGTAATTTTTTTCATTTCCCTCGGATGCTCTACTTCGATACTTGCATGCCTAGCTAAATCCATTTTCGAGCAAGTGAAAACATGCATTTTCATTTTTAGGTAAGAGGTGAATAAGCATGATACCCAAGGAGCGCATGACGGTTCCCAGCTCCTTGGTTGTGATGGTGCCATCGCCATCCTTATCGAACAGGGAGAAGGCCTCCTTGAATTCGGCGATCTGCTCTTCGGTCAGTTGGTCAGCCATTTTTGTTGTTTTTTTGTAAAAATTACAAAAAAGAGTTGTGTCGCTTTCGTGTGTGAGTAGAGAAAACTCCTACTAAAGTTTTGTGTTTTATTGCGGCGGAAAAAGTGAGGTGTCTGCGGGGCGGGACTACTTCTTATTTATTTTTCCTGGTGAATCATTTTCAGAAGAGCCACATTTCATCTGCCATTCAGATGGAAGAGAGAGGTCGAGTTGGTATACTGTACATCAATCCCAGTTGAGACCAGAGGAAGGTCGCGTTATACCTAGTCTAGGTTAGGGTTAGCCATTCGGTACGTGGGCCATGAAAATACTCCTTCTGTTTTTTCGCGTACGCTTTGCTTGTTGTGATAAAACTCACGTCTACGTACTTCTATTTTTTCGATTCCTACCGGAAACGTAGTTCATCGTTCTTGCTATCTTACGTCTTTTCTCGTGCGTTCTTCTCACCCGATTCGTGTTGTTTGTACGTTCCGACGTAGTGCTTTCTTGCATCATCTTCTTTGTACGAACCGAGTTGTTCAATCATCTCTCCGGATTACATGATACGTCTATGTGTAGTCTATCCGATGCTTCAAGGTTAATGAGATCTGAGGCTGGCGAGCATCTCGAACGTCAACGTCTACGGTTTATCGATAAGACCTCGTCCTTCTTAATTCATATCATCTTTTGATATAGTCCGAGTGCGACGAGTACGCAGGAGCAACCATATAAAGTAAGTAGTCAGCCTTGGACGATTATGTACAGCTTGACCATGCGCGATGCTCCAAGCCTATCATGTTTTTCATATTAAGTACTTGATTCAAATTCAATTGCCAACTACTCGCCGGCTGCCATTGACCAGGATCCGACGCTGCTGCAGTAAATGGAGGGCGCGTTGATGACCAATACTACACTAAATGTGAGTCCACCTAAACAAGACTTCCTTAACCTCCCTATGTACTTTCCTAAATCAAAAACTAACATAAGGTCAAAACTGCCCGAAGGAATGCGAACCAATCGGGATGAGGATGCTGCTGTGCTGTAGTTCGAAGCGCAATAGAATCGGAACAAAAATCAAACGGATCGAGAGAAAAATTCACGTTCTTATGTTCCGCTCCCTCATTCCAGGGAAAAATCTCGTCCCGGTACATTTGGGCTCAAAAGTACTCAACAAAATTTTTGTGTGATTTTTTCTTTGACCTAGCTTCTCATAGGTCGGAAACAGTTGACAGCCTCCACGTGATTATTTCTAAATTCCTCTCCGCCAGTAGTCGTCCCCCGCCCTGGACAGAAGACCTTGGAGACACACTTCTTAAAGCGGTCGCGCTTTCGTCTCCGCTGATCGTTCCTAGTCGAGGTGTCTAGATTTCGATTGGAATTCATTTGTAGCAAGTACTCGTGCACATCCGGCGCGTGCTCGTACGTGGGAGTGCCATCGTTGTACTGCACGACCGGGTTACTATTTTGGTAGAAATTTTTATTTCGTGTCGACGTGCCTGCGTCGTGTTCCTCGACCATGGTGTTTTTACCACTAGCAGCGGTTTTATTACCCTTCAGCCCCGCGGCGCTCCCCGGCGGCTCCACGATGATGACAAACTGCGACGGGTCGAGGTTCAGCGCACCAGCGCCGGAGCGATTTTCCTTTTCCACCTCATCGTAATCATCAACTTCTGCTGCAGGAGAATGAAAGCTCTCCCTTCCTCCAAGGCCCGGGCTCACACTAGAGGACGCTCGTCCTCCACGGCCTGGCAACTGCAGGAAATAATTCCTGGCGTGTTTCTTATTCTGATTTCCGTCGTCGATGCACCTCCGACGTGCGTCTTGTTGTACGTGGTGCTCCGCGTCGTTCACCCGCACTTGTAGTCTATCTGCCCGAGTTGTACTTCTTACCATTTCGGGCGATGGCGGCGGTCTCATGGCTCGGGCAGGGGACCGAAAAAAAGACGTGCTATAATCTCTTGTCGTTTCAGGACCTGCTACTCCAGTGTTCATTTTCCGCTTATTTTCCCCGCCGCGTGGCGACAGCAGACTCCGGCTCTTCATGCCCGAAAATGACCAACTGAAATAACTTTTCTTGTTCTTACCTATGATCTTCGTTGTCTTCTTTTTATCTTCCGCACTTCTTGCATCTTCGCCGCAGTCAGGATTCGCATCGTGGTTCTCGTCCCCCAATTCATCTTCATGCTGACCACAAGAAGAACCTCCTCTTTTATGGTCCGTATTGGCTCCCCTCCCCCCATTAAACTTCGGTGGTGACAAGCTGGCCGCGGCGCGGCGGAGCAAATTCGACCCGTAAAACTTGTTGCTTCTCGCCGGTGACCCGGCACTTGTTTTTACCGGGCTCGTCGTGGAGCTTCGCGCCCCGCTGCGAAACAGGCGCGACCGCCCGCCGCCTCCGACGCAGGACAGGAACGTGTAGCCTTGGCGCGGACTGTCGTATTGATCAGAATTGTCGTCGCCTCCTCGGTGGTCTACTTCCTCGTCATCCCCTGATCTCGAAGATCGTCTACTTCCATTACCATAACCACGACGCGACCTGACTGGTTTAGCAGTGGTACAACTTCTGCCCCCTCCTGTGGACGAAGCCACAATCATGCTTTTCTGGTTTTGCACGTCAAGGTCCTCGAGCAAGTCCGCGTCGCTGGCCGCCGTGTCCTTCCGGACCGACTGAATGTCCAGTGCCTCGACGTGCTCCTCGTCGTTGAAGGAATTCTGCAAGTCGACGTCACGCACGTCAAAGTCGTTTTTCATGTTCCTGCCTGCATGGTGGTTGTGGTTCTCGTGGTTGACTAGCCCGTTGTAGTTCTTTTTGATTTTGTTGTGATTTTCATTATTATTTCCCAAAAACACCGGCAAGACTACACTGGAACGAGTCTTGCGCGGACTCACACTGCCTTGATGTGCGTCGTCCTGCTGGTTCCGACCAGCAGAGTTCTTGTGCTGACCGCGGCTGGACTTAGATATTACACGCTCTCCCGACGACGTCCATCCGGTTCCGGGTGCCGTAGTTGCATCTCCTCTCGACCGTCGCGAGGACGAACACGCGAGCATCATGTCCGACGCGGACACGCTGCTTCTGCGATGCGGCTCCAGCTGCGCTTGTTCTGGGTAAACGCTTCCATTGGCGCTCCTGGTTGGCGCCTTTGTAGTAATGCAGCTCGAGGTCGCGGTCCCGGGAACTGCCTCTGGTCCACCTCGCACATCATCAGCATGCTGCTCATTATCGCACATTTCGCTGCACGGATTGTAGAAAGCGTTCTTCTTTTCCAACTGCTTCAGCGAACGCGGGCTCAGGGCAGAACGAGAAATCACGGCCGAATCACCATTGGCCTCGCAGGCTCTGCTGTAGTTGTCCCCGGGTTCTACTTGCTGCAACTGTTTCATTTTCCCGAGAGGAGCTTCGCAACGACTAGGACCGAAAACATGATCATCGTCACAGCAGTTCAAGAATTCGTCGTCGCGGTCCAAATCTTCGTACTTTAGCATAAACCGAAACCGCTCTTGGATCCTCGCGGACGCAGAAGGCGAGGGCCTTTTGTTAGAAGAAGCTGAATGCACGCCCTCCAAAGTTGCTGCTGTGGTTGTACGGTCAGTCGTCGTGCTAGCGCCGTTGTGCAGTTTCTTGGTACTTCCATTCCCTCCGCGGGACATTGATCCAGCGCGAGTAGAAGACGTCGAGGGGGACCTGCGATGTTGAACCGAGCTAGAAGCAGAGGTAGATGAACTACCGACACGTGTATTCCCCCCACCGCCCCCAGCCGTCGCACCCAGGGTGAACTCGATGCCTCGCCAAACGCGGGCGCTGAGAGCGCAGTCGTCCAAGATGCGCTGTCCGTCCACGGTGAGCCGCACGGTTTTCTTCTTCAGACTGTGCGCGAGCTCGATCAGGCTGTGTCGGCGGTGCAGCCCCAGCCCGTACTGCACCTCCCAGGAGTAATTCACTTTCGCAATCAGCTCGATCTTGCTGGGGACGTCTCTCGCAAACTCCTCGTGCCAACTGTCGAAGGGACTGGCACCCAGAAACCGCCCAGCCAGGGGTTGAAGGGCCTCAGAGTGGTGCTGGTGGTGGTCGTGCCAAGGACCGTTTTCATCATTAGTTTTCGCTGGATCGCCGTGTTCTTGGTCCGCCCCGCAGCCGCGGCCGCGTCCGGAGCGAAAATCCGGGCGGCCGCTATTGTTCTCAGCACCCACGGTCGTGGAGCTGGTACGTACGAGCTGCACATCGGGGAAGACGTTGAACAGGGGACCACCCGAAGTCGTAAATGAACGCTCCTGATCTGCAGAATAATTCTGATCCTCCTGATCCATATCACGCCGGCGCCTCGTCGCAGGAGCCTGTTGCGGCTTCCCGACCTTGCTGAGCCGGATTTTCAGGGGGTTGCGCTGTAAATGTAGGTTGCCGCAAAAGTACACTACCTGAAATGTGTGCGTCGAGCGGGGAAGGTGCACGGGCACGAAAATCGTGTCCAAATCCTCCCACTGCCGCTCGTGCAGCTGCCGCACCACCAGGTCCATGCGATTCCGATGATCCGGTCGTGCTGCAGTGGCATTACCGCTACCTCCGAGATTGGTCTGCTCTCGTCCCTGCTCCCCTCCGCCGGTCGTTTTTGATGCAACTTGTTCCGCAGTATCATGTCGGCCTCTGTTGTGGTGGTGCAACAGCAAATTTTCTTCGAGCCACACCCGTACCTTCCTGGACTTCCTCGATAGCGTCGCGTGGATCAGAAACTCCGCACAGACCACGGGTTTATTCTTCTCGACGTTGCTTAAAGTCGTCGCCTCTTGTTCTTTTTCGTGCGGAGGTGCCTTAGCATTTATTTTCCGTCTGCTACTTTTCGGCGCCACAAAGAAACGCTTTGCGGGGCTGCCTTGCTCTGGTGGCTTCGCCTTTCGCGCGGACGAAAACAAGGATGTGGCTGAGATCCTCCTAGTTGTGGTTTTGGTTTTCGTTGGTGAGACTGAGGAGCTCTGTGTGGAACTGCAATCAGCATAATAATTTCCAGCACCGCCGCGTGACGAGACCGACCCTGCTCGTCTTCTAGTTGTCCGCGCTCCTCCTGTCGCGAAAGAAGACGAAGAGGACGACGAACAGCTCTTATGCTTGCCATAATTCTGGTAGAGATACTTGTTTTCGGGCAGAACCAGCCCAAAGTCGGGCGAATGCAGGTCCCTCCGTACTTTGATCGTCCACTGGTACGCCGTCTTGCTCGTGCTCGCGAGCCGTCCCACGTTTTTGCTCTATCAAAAAGAAAAATCCCCCCTCCCCATATCGAAAACGAAATCTGTGGTGCAGTATCTGAGTACATCACAGATCGCATTTGTTTTGCTGGAGAGGACTGCAGACCCATATCAGGCCTGAGTAGAGCGGCTTTGACTTAGGCGCTTAGCATGAAAAGCGTCCGTGATGTTGGCTCAACAGCATGACAAACCGGCTCTATAATGGGACGGAAGCTGCTGCCCTTGTCTTCTTGCAACACAAACGTGATTTGTGACCTCAAATCAGCAACGCAAATTTTCGAAAGCCTACCTCTTCAATATGGGGAGGGGGGATTTTTCCTTGCGATATGCTCTCCTCCACGACCTCCAGCAGAGACGCGTCGCTCGTGCTGGTCTCAATGTGCTGGCGTCGACCAGAACCACAGGCGGAAACGCCCTTCATGTTAACGACGCCGTCGTGCCCGCTCTCGTGCTCTGCTGGACGAAAAGCCAAGGTTTTGTAGTAGATGCCGTGATATATTGCGATACTTTTCTTTTTCCATTTCCATGGACGGCTGTGTGTGCTGTTTCCATTTCCATGGACCTGGCGGCGCGTGTGTGTGCTGAACTTTGGCCTTCGAAGACCTAGAAAAATATTTGATCGTAAAAGAAGGAACTCATGCAAAAGTCAATGAATCAAGCAAGTCGCTTCAGAACCACTGAGACGAAAGCGAACACGAACAGCTTTCAACAAACTGACTGTCCAACACAATCAATGCATGGGACAGTGTGCCTGAGAAACCAAAGGAGCGCAGCACGGTGTAAAAGTCATGCTATGGTCGCACTGTAATGTATGAAATTATCACACCAGACACACTATGTGCTTTCCGTGAGCAGGCTACTTGCAATTAGCAAGGCACTACTTCAGTGAGCCGCGCTCACGAATCTATCTTCGAATCAAATGAAATGGGAAAGTATGGGGCATTGCCAGCATGGCTCTCCGATTTCCGTCGCAGACTGGGACTGCTGCATCAGGGTTCCTGATGCGGGGGAATTACTCAGGTCAGCGCTTAGGCTTCGCGTTCTTCGAACTTCTATCTTCAACAGGAGCATTGCCGGTGGCGTTCCGGGTCGTGCATGATCTTCATCTTCTATTGCGCCGGTATAATAAATTCTTGCGGACCACCTCCAATCATATGAAGACCTTGCGTTCAACGTCCAAGTTCAATATCATTTCCACACGGCAGGAGTCACTTCCGCAGCCACAACACCAGAACTCGCAGACGCAGTGTCTGACGTCCGGCTTTCATTCGGTAAGGTGTCGGTTGGTGGTGGCAGGGACGAACAAGCCAGACCCAAAGTTGATGTCGCTGTACTCCTAGTCCACCACCTCCTCGGGGGAGAATAAATGCTGAAACGCCGGTCAGGTGGTGGTCGGCGAAAGTATTCTTTGCTTCCTGTCGCCGATATTTTTACCACACGAAGAACCCGGCTACGTACTGCTTTACTCAGCCGATTTTCTTCCGCCATATGTAGATTTCTTGCTGCTTGAAATACCTTAAAAATATTTGTATGAACAAGTTGTACACACGATCTTCACCGGGAGTAGCTGTTGTTTGCAACGACATTTTTTGCATCTTCTTCTTCGTAGTTCATGTTCCCTGATGAAACAACAAATGGAAATGACTCGTCCAAGTCCTGAGAGACAGCTACATATTAACCAGGTTCATTGATTTCTTGCTGTTGGTAGTGGTACCCCATTCCCATACAAAGGTAAAACATGTTCCTGTTGCACGTATACATGCTGTGCCCCCAGAAAAAAAAGTGACAAACTCCTATACCTCCTATCCTCTTCATCCACCAGCACCAGATTGAGAAAGTATTTCACCGAGAACTTGTTTTGTACGTTTTTGTATGTCGGCTGGAGGTCGACCCCCGAGAGGTAGAAGCGGACGGGAATGCATTCCCCCCGCACCGGCGCACCGTCCATGATTTCGAACTTGGTCAGCGTTTCGTTGTCGCTGCTCTGGTTCTGCGCACCGGACCCCGTGGTTTCGCGCCGGATTATGTTCAGCTCCATGTATCAAATGTAAAAATGTCTGGGTCTGGAAGATTGCCAGGTTTGTCATGCTTGTCTGGCATGACTCTAAAATATGTCATGCACGTTACCCAAGAGCCCCACTTTGCTGTCATGCAGAAACGCAGTTTTTCATGCAGAATAGCCAACACCTAGAAGCTCAACAGCTTGTCATGCTGCGCCAGCACTTGTGGCCTCTTCATGACACGCCACCCAGCATCACAAGTTTCCAGACCCAGACATTTTTACATTCGATACCATGTGCTTGATCTTGATTCGCACCAGCAGAAAGTACACCTTCCCTACCACCACATCCTTCATATGGTACTTGCTTTTATCGTACCTGAGTACAGAAGTAGTGGGGTGTCAAAACGAGCAGGATCTCGGTGAAAAGAATACTTGCAGGTTGTAACTGTAAGTGTCGGCGTCGGCCACAGCACAGCTACGTGATATGTAATAAATAAATTACAGTGAACAAAATCAAAAACCAACTGTGAAGCAACAAAAATAAAAATCATGACAGAGAAGCAAGACACGTTGCAGTAAATACTCAAACTCGATGTGCAAGCAGTCCTCTATGCCGACCTCCATCTTGATGGTATTGTTGATGTCTGGAACGGTGAAGCTGTTGAGTACAATTTTGCATGTTTTTATGCCGCAGATGCAGATGCACAAGGGCATCAGTAAAAACTCGCAACGAAGTTAAAGTAAAGTAAGTTATTTTATCAATACTTTGAATTACAGCTACAAACTAAAGCTAAAACTTCATTCAACGTGCACAAACGAAAAACTATACAGGTTCTGCACGACGAGGTCGACTTCCTTGGTGATGTTCGAGCTATAATTCCTGACCACCACCAGCCGGACGAAGACTATCCACCGCAAAAGTGTCTCGCTCGTTTGGAAAATTAATTGTGATGCGCGGCTGGCATGGGTCTGAATAGATACTACAACTGCGGTGCATATTCTTGCAGACATCATGCCGTGTGAAGATGTCGTGTATTGCTGAAAATCTTGAACAAATTGCTACCACCTTCAGATACATCAAAAATTTTCCAGCGAATTTATTCTAGCAGAGACACCATGCGTAAAGTAGCGGAGCCGCACATTTATCCCTGAGTAGGTCTCGCACTGCTTTATCAAATGTAAAAATGTCTGGGTCTGGAAACTTGTGATGCTGTGTGGCGTATCATGAGGAGGCCACAATTGCTGGCTCAGCATGACAAGTTTCTGAGCTTCTAGGTGTTGCCTATTCTGCATGACAAACTACGTTTCTGCATGACAGAAAAGCGCAGCTCTTTGGTAATGTGCATGACAGATTTAGGAGTCATGCCAGACAAGCATGACAAACTTGCATTCTTCCAGACCCAGACATTTTTACACTTGATATGCTTGTCCACTGAGCCAAATCGGAACTTCCACTGTTTTGACTCGAATATCGCGCCGGGAGGCTCCAGGTCTTTGACGATCGCAAAAAAATCGTAGCTGTTACCTAGCAAGGAGTTTTAAGAGGGCGCTCGGTCGGTCGTGGTTTTGTTTAACAAAATAAACTAACAACTTCTTCATCTTCTGATGAGGCTGCAGTATCTATTCAGAAAGGAAGAGCAGCAGGAGGAGAGAGAACTAAGTACAGCTACAGTCCGTGGCGACCACATCGACATCTAGAAAAATCATTTTTAGTAAGTACTTTTGTCGTAGATCATGTCCACCTGGCCAATGAGTTCGACTCGTATGCCCTGGTGGTCGACCTTCTTTCCGGGTCGCACGGACACGACAGCGGTACCGTTGACATCCTCTCCGTCCGTATATATGTAGGCGCGCTCGCCCTTCTTGTCCCGGCCAAGCGGCGCCGTTTTTCGGTTTTCCTCCGCATCCAGTGTGATGTCCACCGTGCATGGAGTACCTCCGAAAAAACCGGACAGCATTTTTCTGACGTCTTCCTGACGGCGCTTCTTCTCCTTTCGCACGCGCCTCGGCACAGCACTTTTTGCTCGCGACTACGAAAAGGAATCGTCCTGCCGTCCTCCTTGTCGCTGCACCCACTTTTAATGCTGGGGGCTTTGCTCCCTGCTACCCCTAACTCCTGATTGACGGACCACGACGACAGGCGGTCGAGGTCGTCAATATAGTGCACCCGGTGCCTCCTGCGTCAAGCCCGCGTCTTCCTACAATTTTCCGCAGGAACTGGAACTTACACCTTCTGTGTCGTGGTGCCCTGCACTACTCGTTCGAGATGAACTATGCTCGGCCGGGGCTCTCGGCCCGCGATTAACTATGCTCGGGCGTAGGTGACAGGGGTTGTCCTTTTCTTGATGGAAAACTACCTCCGAACTGGAGCACGCACTGACTTGGTGGTCTTGTCTGCAACGCAGGGGGCGCATGTGCTTGTCGTGGAACGTCGCAAAAATCTAATTCATTCCCAGCACGCATGATCCTCTGCTGCGGTACACGTCGTGTCGTCCGTGCTCAGCTGTCGTCGTGTGCCAGCACAACTCGGAGTCGGTTTTGAAAATCAGTATCACATCAAGAAGATTATCTGGCTGCCCTGTCCTGTGTCCTCGACTTCAGTCTGCTGATATGACACCGGCACCAGTTCAGGGTCGACGACGTCCAAGAGTGCCTATGACTGCTGCTGCACGTCGGCCCGGTAGTACTGCTACTGGTGAGCGGTGATGTCGCTGGAAAACGCCTCGTAAAACTTTTCCGAGAACCCGTAGTTCCTTCGTGTCGTCTTCTCGCCGGCGGCCACCCCAAAATAGATACGTCGCATCGATTTTTACAGCAGTCTCAGATGACCAGAAGAGGAACTACAGTCAACGTCATGGTGTTGTTTCCGTAAAAAGTAGTACTGCGGCCATCGTTCCCGCAAAAATCATCATGAATTCGAGGCCTAATTGTCGGCGAATCTCAATCTCAAAGCGACAAATGGACTTAGTGTGAAACAAAAGATCAAAAATTTCATCCAGTGCAGCCGTTTGGCTCGATGACTGTAGAACAAAGTTTGCTTAAAATCATTGCAATAATCACGTCACAATGATGAAGCAATACATAGAGTTGTAAAAGGAGCGCAACTATGCCTAGTCGGATCTAAAGTTGCTTGCTCAGCCATGTCGTGGTTGAGTGATCTGTAGTTAGAAGTGTATTTCGATTTCATCCACGATCTTCTATAGTCATGCCGGTGATCGCAAGAACGGCGGCCAAACAATGGAAATCAATCGCCGAACACGATGCTAATTCAGTGGAACCTGCTACCGTGTTACAATCCTTAACTTGCCTGCTTCTCAGGAGCACGCCATCTATACATAGTTTTTTAGATGCCTCTGCCTATGCGCGCTGATGGATCGCATCAAGTATACAGGAGGAGATGCAGGAGCAAACGCCTGTGCTAGTTCTCTTTGTCATCTGTCACGACGGCATGAGCGGAATCCGGTTCTTTCATGAAGCACATGTCCTTTATTTGCGTGGGGGTGGTAAAAATCAAGCTGTGAACTTTTGTTGTATCTATAGCACTATGTTGAAGTTGATGCTGTCTCATAATGTTGAGAATCAAACTACTGAATAAGTAAACTCTAGTTGCCTAGTAAAAGCCCTTCATTCCTATACTTTTTCCTCGATCTCGTAACAATGCTTGCATTCGACATCCCGTCAGAGCGGTCTCGACATGACGCCTCTACGTTATCTTATGGTAAAAACACGTTGCAATCCTAAAGCAAGTTGATGACAACAAAAACAAGTTTTATTTTCGTGTTGCGTTTCGTCCGAATGAAAACACCAGGGAATGTATCTCAATGAGACCATCCATTTTCACGAAAGCTGAAAAGTGGCAATCAAGTTTAACTTTAAGGTCTGCCTCTGCCTCAGACTCGTCTGTATTATTTCTTGCTGTGGTTCTAGTTTTGGTTTTAACATTAACATCATGAACAGGTACATTACCGTCTCTGAAGACCGAGCGATCTGCAACTTCATCCTTCGTTCCATTATGTGGAGCGCAGTCCAAAACCAAAAGTTTTTTCTAGCTCCTCAGCCTCAAATGAAATATCTTCACTCCGATTCTTATGGGTGGACCGTCTGGAAGGTAGACCACCCTGCATACGAGAAGCAGCGAATTCTGCTCTAAGTCTCACCATTTCATCCGCCACCTACGACCAGATCACGGGGACCACGCTGTGCACGATCCTGTCCGCTTGTCGCCGGACCTCTTCGGGTAGGGCCGGATTCTGTTGGCACTTCTGCAACGCGTTGAGCCCCGCATACTGCAACTTGTTGCCGAACAGAATGTACTTCGCGATTCGGGTCTGCGCGTTGGTGTCTGCTTTGATTCCCCGGTCCACGCGGTCGAGCCGCTCCAGCGCCACTCCGATCTTTTCCAAGTTCTGGAAGGAAAAAATGTGTTGGTGTAAAAATAAATCTGCGTTCTTGCAGACGGCGATCTTCATGCAAGAGTAACACATTTACTTCTTATCCAACGCCGAAAAATCATGTTGGAGCACGACCAAAGATATCATCCCGAGCAGAGAGAGTTCATACGTGCCTTGAAGGAAGTGCTGGTGCTATCGCACATCACCGATTTTCCTAACGAGCACGAGCAATTCTAGCGGTGATATATGTATCATGGACTGACATGGATCGCAAAAGGTTATGCACTAGACACACTTTCTTTCTTGGATACAGGTGCAGGGCGGACGAATCGGCGGATGACGAGGAGGACACCAGAGACCTATTTTTCGGGCACAATTCAAGCGACGTAAGCGTATGACAAATCAAGATACCTCATAATGACACAACCGGTTAATTTTCACTTAGCGTCCAGAACCATATCAGGGAGAACCCCTTGTTGATACCACACTGCTACGTAAGAGTAAGACTTCAATAGCTGACAAAATTCAAAGAATGTCGAATCTATCTGAGTACGTGAGCTGCCCGATGCAGATGTCCAACAGCTCTGCGATTTGACCTTCGTCGTCCACCATATGCAACAGAAAAAAAGCAAAAGCTGACTTGCTCTCACGTGTCTCACGAAAAATGGCACTGGTGCTGTTGCATGTTTATTTTTCTTTGCCATGACCATTTTTGCCCTGATGTTCATCACACCGCAAGAACAAACTCGAAGCAAAAGCAGAAATGTCCAATGAAGATTGTACAGAATTATCACTTTTACGAATTATTTTTCCGCTTGGATAAAAATTGTGTTCGATGGTCTCCGGAAAAGAAGCCCAGTCGTCTCCCGAAGAAGACAAGGACGAGGTAGACAACCTGCTTGTGTATATTCAGATACCGTGATTAGGATTAGCAGTTTTTTCCTCTTCTGTCTTCTGTATTAGCGCTTTGCTTTCAGTTTCACCTTAATAGGTTGTGAGTACCACTTACATTTTTGCTCAATTCTGGGCCTGCGCGAAAACGGCAAAAATGAACATCAAGATGATGAACAAGTCAAAATTACAAACTACAAGCCGGAGTAAAGCGAAGATCCTGCCGTTGAAAATCCTGATCCCAGAGCATATTGCACAGGCCTGTTAGCCACCACCACGCTGAAAAAAAAAATAAGAAAGTAGTACCCTTGCTTTTCCTGGCTGCGAACCGCCCGTGCAGCCGCCATTCCCGCTGTGTCGTGTCCAGAAATGATCGCAGGATCTCTTCCATCAGGATCTTTTCCATCACCCGCAACGTCTCCGGTCGAAGAAGAAGACCACGACTTCGAAGCAGACTTCCGGAACCGCAAGGACTGACCGTTCGTGTTTATCTCCCCGTCAATTCCCTGTTCCCGACCAGCTCCCGTGCGGTCTTCGGAGAAGAAAGTGGTAGAAGCGGAATTCAAAGGAGCCGCATGTTCTTGTTGACCCTTCTGTTTACTACCCGGCGCTACACTTCTTGGCAAAACGATCCCCTCCTGCGCCATCAACACGGCCATTGGACTGGGCGGAACGATCCGGGTCGTCGAAGAAAAGTTTGGGTCGTCGTGCGCCGCCCGCCCTATGCATTGCAAATGCTCACGTGGTCTGGGCGTTGTTTTGGAAAGAAAAGGATGCAGCTTTGCAATGCTCTCCGTCAGCGGCCACAGAAAAATCAGGTGTCATGAACCTCCAGTAGCAAAAGCCATTCACTTTTCCTTTTGCGCACACCGAAAGAGGATTTCATCTCATGCAGAGTACTCAACCTTGCAAAGCTCTCGCAAATGAACCTCTAACGCCGAGCGCTGCATTTCGGACCTTCACCTTCTGGGCCGCGCAAAGCCTGCATGACGAACATCCTGATCCTTCTTTTTCCAGCCTGCCCGCCCCACATTATTTGCACATGGATACAATCTGCAGCAGTACTATTCACGTCATGTCCTTGGTGAGACAGTGCGCCATCCACCTGTTCAGACGACGCCGACGAAGCATGGGACCGCGACCGCGAGTAAGTTCGCGCGCTTCCACTTGCACCTCCCGAGCCCCTGTCCTGCAACAAATCCCTGGCCAAAAGGCTTCCCGAGTGGTCGTCCCCAGGGGTGGAAGTAGGTGTGTCCGTGGTCGGCGTCGGGATCTTCATCGAAGTGAGCATTCCAAGCTGCTGGTCCCGGACATCTTCACCAGCTGATGCGCTGAAACCCGGCGACAGCACTCCTTTCTTCTCATTCTCGCGCCGATTATGGATTGTAAAAATGTCTGGGTCTGGAAGGTTGGAACTTGTAATGCTAGCTTTCTATACCTAGAAAATCTGTATTGCATAACCAACAAAAGTCGCAGCCTCTTTTGTCATGCAAAAACGCAGCTTCTTATGCGGATTGCGTATGAGAAAGCGTTGTGGGAAGTTGTCATGCCGGACTGCATTCGGAAGTGTTTTCATCATGCACATTTTAGCATCACAAGTTTCCAGACCCAGACATTTTTGCATTTGATACCGCTCCTCATCTTGCAACAGTGTGGCGTCCAGCGGCGAACCGGCTGTGCTGGTCGTGCAGGTCGACGCCTCTTCCTTCCCAGTGGTTCGGCTCGTATGCATTGCAAATACGTCTGGAGGGTGGTCTGGAGGTGGAAAGCTGTACGGATACATGTCAGTGAATATATCGCACCACCGCCAAGAGTGACAAGCTTTCTCGTGGCCTTGCCTTGCCGTGTATTCCGCAAAGAGAAACTGCGTTTTTGCATAAGTAGGAGAAGGCAAGAGGACGTCTTCCTCGTGGTCGTGCTGGCAACGGCAAAATCATATTTTTTCCGCAGCAATCACAGACAGTCAGAGTCATTCCGGACTAGCATGACATCACATCTCGCAAACGCAATCTGAATCTTCCCGACCCAGACGCATTATTTGCGGTGGATAGCTCGTGCGCGAGGAAAATTTACGCGCTGGTGCTGCAAGTCCTCGTACAGCCTCGGCAGTTGTACACCCCTCGCGCAAACTCCGCTCCCGCGCGAGCTCCCCTTCGAGCTCCCGCTGCCGCTCCTGTAACTTCGACAGCTGTGCGTACAGAAACAGGAATGCCACTGACATCAGCATTGAAAAGCTGCCAAGAATGATCGGCAAATAGGAGGTTCCCGTATGCAAGCGAAAAACTGAGGAGCGGAGGAATTTCCGGGGGCAGTTGAAGTTACGACCGTAGATGGTAGCAGTAGACACAGCTTTTCCTTTTGTTTGTATTTTCACCTAATGTCATACTCAACATACTCATCACCATACTGGAGACTCCGATGTCCCATATTAACAAAAGTGAACCCCATGAGCACGCATTTTTTGGGCTCTCTTGGATTCCATGCAAAACTTCGAGCTGCGCTTTCATTATCATTACGAGTAGTTTTTCCTATGAATCAACTTCGTCTTCATCAGTACAGTTTCACTCAAACAGTTTTCCTGTTGGATAGGTGGCTGCTGCAGCGCCAGACGTGGTCACGCCGGCTGTCGCCGTAACCACGGCCGCCGCGGTGGACATTATTCACCTCTTGCAGGATGCTAATCTACAATACTCAGGGTGTTGTTCGTCTTCACGGATTCTTCATTCTGAATATGCGTTGATGAAGAGCAACTTGCGACGAGCGTGTTTGCGCTTACGGATTGGAGCTATCGTTATGTTGATTCAAGCTGCTCTCGAAAAACTAAAATCTGTCGCTTCACATTCATTTTGCAAACGATCATTATTTTCTATTTCTGCATCAAGGTTTATTTACCGAGCGTCGCTTGAGTTTGTGGTCTCTACCCTAATTTTCCACTTATAATCTTGCGTCCAGAAGTTCGTTGCTACTGATAGCGCCATCACGATCACCGATCGGAATGAAGAAAGAGTAGAATAAAAAAAAACACACGCCCGTTGGGAAGCACAGCTAACGACAGAATCCTATAGATGCCAATCCAGATGCATTCATATAGCAAAACGCGAAGTCAGTTTTCCTTTTGGCTCAACCGGCGAGATCTCTCCGGGTCCAGTAAACCGAATCACCCAAGAAACAAACTGTGAACACAGACACAGTGCCCGTGTTCAGGCGGTCTACATTTATTTCAGCCGAGGTATAAAACTCACAGCACATGCAGAACATAGTCATATTGATATTGATTCATATTTATTAGTTCGAGTCGCCGTTGCTAACCTGACATTGCTTGAAGTTGAAATGAAAAAGATCGGGGGGACATTAGGGTATGAAAAAAGAACAACAGCAGGTGTACTTCATCTACTTCTAACTTTGTCATATGCATGGAAATTTTTTACATGAGCCCCTCACATCTGTGATGCGGAAGCTCGCCCGCCCCTGTCGCTTAGGTCGCTTTGGGTCCTCGTCGGAGGACATTTCCACCTTTCTGCACGACCGCAGCAGATGCCTTACTTATTCTACCCTTGTTGCTCGCCTTGCTCTGACCGTGGTCTCGTGATTCGCCACGCTCTCATCGCATGAAACGTGAGTAAACGCATGGCGTTTCGAGCTCATCGCATCAAAACAAAGACAATGACAAACACACAAACATGTTCATATTAAATAAAACTTTAATTTTCACAATTACGAAACCGCAGGTAAGTACTACGGTTACGGCTACTGACATTGCTTCTTGAAAGCAGCAGCGGAGATCTATGAAAGGTGACATCGTAACTACCCTATCCCTACCCGTAAAACGCTTGAGAAACATTGATATACTTCTTAACGGAAGCAGCAAGACAACGCCTTCTTCAGTTTCGAGAACTTAGAAGTCTTCCCCGCGGCTGCCGGTGCGACAGAACTCGAGTCAGACTGGTATTCCAGATCCGGGATGTTCGTGGACGCATCAGTGCTAGCGCTCCTGGAACTGATACTACTGCTGCCGCTATTGCTGGCCCAAGTGGTGGCGCTACTGCTGGAGCTACTGCTGGAGCTACTGCTGATGCTACTTCTCTCACTACTGCCGGCGCTAGCGCCGGGGGTCTCAATCGGTGGGTTCAAGATGTCCTCGAACTCCTTTATGTCTGGGAGTGGGAGGTGGCTGTTGAGGGTCCAGACCGGCGACTCTGGGGGGGGGACGCCGGCGGCTCTGGGGGAGAGAGGCACGACGACGCTACTTTGTAGCAAGGCGCCAGCAAATCAGCAAAGAGCCCGTGCACTTGTTGAAATGACGACGCAGGCGGCTGTGTCCCCGAATTCATTGGGTGCTCCGCAGCAGTTTCGAAAGACCGACTCTTCATTCTGCCTGCCAAAAGATGCCGGTACTTGTTGCAGTACCGCAACTGTGCATACTCGGGAAACGAGACGCTGCAAGAGCAAAGGGGACTCTTTCCGACGAGCGCCGTTCCCGTGCACTTTTTGCTCCTCGGATAAAATTCGTCGTCGTCCAAAATCAAGTTCTTACTGGTATCCAGCTCCATGAAATCTTTCACAAAACCAGCTTTCTTGGCCAGCAGGAAGAAGTCTAGACTTCGCCCCGACTGAAACACTTGCACGGCAAACACGGCGTGTTGTTCTCCAGACTGGTCCGCCACGGCATCAAACGAACTTTCGTAACCAAGAAGATCTCGCTCCAAGTCACGCAGCTTGCTGATCTCCTGCAGGCTGATCGTTCGCGCCGAAGCCCAGTTTCTTCCCGGAACAGACTGCAGGTACAGATCCATGTCGGGAATGGGTGGCCTCACTTCCGGATCGGACTCGCCGGCGGGCTGAGACTCGACGAAACTGCCATGGACGTCCGCAGCCTCATCGACGACGACGTCCGTGTCCTCCTGGGCATCCACCACGTCGTCCAGATCATCTACGTCCTCGTCTAGGTCATCTACGTCGTCCAGATCACCATCTTGCTGCTGACCCAAGCGCAGTGTCGTCGCGGAACTGCGAGCTGTGCCTGCGCTGGCGCCACTTGTTGCGGCTGCAGACACTATCAAGAACTTTGGACCGTGCAACTCCGCTTTCACGAAAACCATCAAGCTCGTCCCCGAAAGCATGGACAACCCGGTGAGACAGCACACTGGGGCGGAAAGCCAGAAGCGCACCCGCGCGAGGAGCTGCATCATCCTTGACGCACTTTCCACCTCGTTGACGAGTTCTTGTCTAGCAATCTGCACCAGTAGAGAAATTTAGTTTTGTGATCTAGTAAGTAGTTCATTGATACTGATGGACGCGATTGCCAAGAAAAGGAGTGAAGAAATAAGCAAGGCCACCTCATGGAAAAAAGCAACACCGTTAGACAATAAAAATAGAAATCCGGAAAGCGCACAGTACTTATCGAGAGACGGCAAACCGCGATGATTTGTTTTCTCGCTCTACCTCTATCTCTATCAGACTCTCCGACACTAATAAACTGAATCCCCAATGCAACTCTAAGTACACGCTCTCCGCATGTGGTAAAGAGTAAGATAAAGATGAGGACTGCCTCTCTTACCATTTCTGTCCTCAACGTGGGTACTACAAACTAAACTCATAAGAGGCGCAGAACACATTTTTCTCGTCTCACATTTACAAATATATCACACTAGTCATCGATGACGATACGCATACGACACTGCTTGAAATGGACATCAAATTCAAACGTCTCCCTCTACACAAGAAAAATCTTCGAGGGAGGGGCGAGGACAGTGCAAAAATAAATAAACAGTGATTCGGAAGCTCGTTCGCTTCTGTCGCTTAGGTCGCTTTGGGCCCTCGAACATTTTCACCTTTCTGCACGACCGCAGCAGATGCGTCACTTATTCCACCCTTGTTGCCCCCCTTCCTCCGACCTTCTCGTGATTCACCACGGTCTTCGGCTACTGCACCGCCCGGAACCGCAGACTTCAGTCCCTTGCTTTTGCTCCCCATCCCGGCTGTTGTGCGCAGTTGTGGGCGCTGTGCAGTAGAGAGCTGTTGTGCAGTCGTAAGAGACGCAGTCCCAGTTGGCGGGATGTCACTTGAGTTTGGCTTGACTTTCGACGACGACGACAAAGCACGTGCGCCTCTTGGTTCAGCTACTGATGAGCTTTTCTCGATTGAAGTTTTTCTTTTACTCGTCGCGCCTCCCGCAACAGCAGTGGCTGGAGCTGCGTCTTTTGCCCTGCTTGCATTCTTGATGTCCATCCTTCTCTCACCCACTTTTTCTTCATCCTTACCAGCTGCACCTCCAGCTCCATCGCCCTGCTTCCCAGAAAAGACTCGGCCCTTGTTCTTCCCATTTTTCGCGACTTCCACCTTGTTCGCCGTAATGCTCATGCTGCTCCCTGCTTTCGCTTGTCTGGCGGCCTCAACAGCCGCATTTTTCTCTCCCGCTTCGGCACTTTTTTTCTCCTGCTGCTCCAAAAAGCTCTCCACGGACCAGCCAATGCGTAGCTGTTGCATCAGCATACCGTCGAACTTCTGCAACCTCTGCAGAACTTTCTCGTACTGCTTTTTTCTCTCCGTTCCAGACGATGGGGCCGCGTCGCTCGCGCCGGCAGACACTGGTTGGTCGAGTGGTCCACCGGATGAGAGAGCTGAAGCCGCAGCGATGCTTTCGGCGTTTTGAAGTTGCGCCGCATGTTCTGTCATCCAGCGCTGTTGGTCTTCTCGCGTCTATGCCTTGCAAACATCAATCTGGGTCTGGAAGTGATGCAGACGAGTGCAGATTAGATTTTTCGTCCTGGAAGATAAGCATTCATTGCAAAGACTTGCGAGACTCTGACGGTGCTAGATTTATTTTGCATGCCAGACATTTCGGATTTCGGGGCATGCAAGAATTTGCATCGCTGCAAGTTCCTGAAATTTTTCCCTTCCAGACCCAGACCGACATACCTGCAATGGATAGGGCCACGCTTTCGACGATACAGCCAAGCCTGTCTTGCAGCAGCATCAGAAACGGCTGCAGCAGCTCCTTGCGGACGGAGGCAAACACCTTCGCGACCTTTGTTTTCAGCTTGTTCCTATGCAGGGGCAAAAGACGATCACGATTCGCAGACGTATAAAAAAATTGCGGATTTACAGATATACAACGCTCTCATTATAGTTTTCAATCACACGACCTTCATCTTAATTCTTCGCCAAGTCAATGCCGCCCGTGACAGTCTGTGCTGCTGCTGCCCCACCAAGTTAGAATAAACTTCAATTGATGGTCGTCGTCATGCTGAAACTGAATACAATCGGAACAAACCGCTTCCACAACTTTTCATGCAAATCGATGTATACGAAAGCGACATGAACTACGCTTTGCAGGGCGTATTTGAGCTCACTACGCCGGTCGGTGAAGCGCTCGTACCTCTCGCGATCGAACTTCTCGGTTCGCTCCGCTTCCGCTTTCAGCCGCTGCGCAAATCGGTCCGCCGGAAACAGCTGCTCGCGAACCTGCTGAAATTCGGTCTTTTGCTTAGTACTTGCCTCTGATTCTCCTTGTTGGTCTTGCTTTATTTTTCCGTTGCCTTCTTCTTCTTCAACATCTTTCGAAGGTTTGCCCTGCTCGCCAACGAAAAGTAGCAGCTTCTCTCTTTCCTTCCGCTCCAGTTCGTCGCTCAGCTTCTCTTCCTGCAACAGAAACTCGTCCTCCTGTTCCACTTTCAGCCGCTTCTCCCGCTCGATCGCGTCATTCAGAAACTTCTGCTCTGCGAGAAGGATGTTCTCCCCCTCTCCTTTGGGCGCGAGCATCGTGGCGTCCCTCGTCTTCGCCTCAAAAAGCTTCTTGAAGTGCGACAATTTCTGCAGCACCTCCGGAAACATAGCGCCCCAAAAGAGTTCCTGCTCCTCCTTGGACAACTTTTTCACTTTTTTACCGGACAAAGTACTAGTCCACGACGACGAGGATCGTCCAGGTTGCTGTTGTGCATCAACTAGTACGCCATCATTAACATCTACACCGCCCTTGTCGCTCGTCATCTTGTCAACAGCTTCCGGCAACAAGTTCAGCTCCAGGTCCAAATCGCCCCGTTTATTCCCTTTCGAAGTAGCTGAAGCGTTGCTAGAATTATTCGTGGCCGGAGATAGTGGAAACGAACAGGAGGAGGAAAGCAAAACCCGGGCAAAGGAACAGAGTGCGTCGACCACGAGCGTAAGAATGACTTCCTTCCAAAAGTCCTTGGTCGCAATCCCGAACTCGAAATGGTCATCGCCGCGCACGAACAGTGAAATGCGCACGTACTCCCGCAACTCCTGCAGCTGAGCGTCCTCCGGCCGGGGTCCGGCCAGGTAGGCCGGAAGCACGACCGGCGATGAGCTTGGATGTGTTCCGTCTGCTAGCAGGAGCTGCGCACCGTCTGTAGTAGTCGGATCCGCGAAACTGGAATTCGCTTTGATGTTCTTGTCCCCACCAAGGAGACCCTGGTGGCCCTTGAGGTCTTTGTGCGCCCCGCGGGCGGTTGGAACCTTGATTGCGGCCGTGAGTTTCTGTCGCTTTTTCTCGAGCACGCGGTCCAGGTCGAGCGAAAAAAGAACATCGGGTCCGCCGCGAATCACCGCGAGATTGCTCACCTGGTCCTCCGCGTCGAAACTTTGCCTCTTGTTCTTCGCGACGCTGGCAGAAGTTTTATTGCGTGCCCGTCCCACCAGCCGCTTGTCGTGGTCCTGAACAGAAGGTAATAGTAGAGGTGCTGACTTTAATATTGCGCTCTTATCTTCAGCCTTCGCGCTGGCATCTTGTTCCCGACTTTGATGCTTTTTTACTTTGCCTTTCTGCACCAGCAGCCTCTGGTCTTTAGTATCCTTCTTTTTCTTCTTCTTTTTCGTTTTGCCATTTGGTATTATGTCCTCATTTTCCTTTTTCTTTCTTGCCTTTTTCCGGACCTCCTTTTGTTCTTGCGCTCGGGTTTTTAGCTGCTTTTTCGCTTTCTTCTTTCTAACCAAACTGATATTAATGTCATGGCTCGTCGTGCCAGCCACGCCAGCACTCGCCGCGGGCACGGCAAAGGTACTCTTACTTTTTCCGTCGCGGTCGACAAGGTCCATCTTGTTCGCGCTCGCCGCATTGCTTTTCCCGACAGGAATAGCTCGGGCGATGGACGACGAGGAACTGCTTGCGCCACCGCCGATTGTGGGCTCGCGGCCATGCTCAGGAGTCGTCTCAATGTACTTCTGCCGCAAAAACTGCGCCAGTTCTTTTCGGGACGCTTTCGGAATCTTTTTGTGGAATAGCCCCCACTCGCTCCGTGGAGTTACCAGGTACAGAGTCTTCAAGCTCTCTGCAGACATAGGCGCAGCAGAAGTGCTGCCGCTTGCTGGACTTATTTTGTTGCCTTCTACTCCGGGCGACGCAGCCAGCCGGGACGGATTAGATTTCTTGACCATGGTGTACTGTCCTGGTGCTGTGCTTGACGTGGCGCCGCTACTGCTCGTCTTGTGTTCATCTTGCGCTTTCAGCAGGCGAGCCTTCTCATTCGCGTTGCTCGCGGGTCGTTTCCCATCAGCGTTGGTTCCTGGCCTGGCGACCTCGTTCGACGAAGCATTGTTTTGGCTTTTGCCCTTCGTGTTCTTGGAAGCCACACCAGCCGTGAACATTTTGCTCCTGCAATTCAGAAGAATCTCAAGTTCAAGTTGTAAAAGTAAAACGATGCCGCGCGAAAAGTGAATCGAAAGCCTCTGCTGCGCAAGAACTCACGAAACTACCGTTCGCAGAAAAACTTTGCGACAGGCACAGGCTCGCTTGATTGCGGATATAGGATAAAAATGTGTATGTGTCGTCAAACTCAAAGTCAAAGCGTAACAAAAACGATCTACATGAGTTTCTAGTTGTACGTACCGTAGCCACTGCTTACACAAAAAAAGCCGTATAGTTCACATCAATGTCAACATAGAAATCGAAAGTAAGTATGATCCAACTACTCTTTCGGTAGCACAACATGAACATACCATTTTTCGGGAAAAATAGAGAAGACGAACTGCGAATCAAAACTATATTAAGAAATCCACGATTTTGGTCTGATGCACCTGATTTTGATATGATAAATAAGCGTAGCGTTCGTCTGCAGTGCCCGATGCAGCTCCGCAACTCAAATCTCTCGCAGTCGTCGTCCCTCTCACGGAAAAGCTATCTGCAGAAGATCCGCATCTGACCTGCGCCGGTAGAAGAATACTACCGGTTTGCGATCTTCAACGTGGACAAGAAAAACGGCTTCGATCCAGATCGGGATCCACTTGTTGTATTCTCAATTTGGGTCAGGATGAATGGTCCACCAGCGTTAGATCAACTTGTAGTTTTTCACACTTATTAACAAGCGGGCACCGAATAACACCACAAGACGAAGTGACAAAGAACAGGAGCTGACGAAGCAAAAAAAACCAGGCACGACCAAGCCTGTCGGTGCCTTTTTTGGCTCTGCTTGCCAGAAATGCGAGCAGCATAGATTAATGTTGTAGTTGATGTGGCTTTACATCGTACAAATTCCTATGTATCAAGAACAGTGCGTCGGCTCTGTTCCAAAAAGTAGATGCCTTCGAAATTTGATCTTGGAGGCAGTGTGTATGTGTCGCAAATTTTTCACAATAATCGCTTTGTCTTCATTATCGTCGTGTTAATGTAAGGATTTCATCTACTACTTGTTATCATCCTTTCTTTTGCGGCAGCCGATAGAGCACGGCTTTTCTTTCCTCTTCCAACGATAGGCACTTCAGAACGCCATTCCACGCTTCCAGTTGTATTGGTGTACTTTTCAACGTACCAGCCGTAGCCTGTTGCGAGTGAGTCGTTTCTTGCCCGTGCCCGGGGGCGGCATAATAATAATTAGAGGCATCTTCACCTCCGCCTCCGTGCTTCGCTATCGCCTTCTGTGAAGCCGCCTTGAGTATTCGCGCAAATTTCTGCCCCGTTTTCCTGCACTGGCGCTCGTCGGCGAAGGTGTTCAGCCAGAGCTCAATTTTGACGACGTTTCGCTCTCTGGGACACAGCAACACCCCAATAACGTCGTCGGAAAACTGCCCGGCCACCAGGTTGGTCACCACGTCCACCCACATCTCGTCTACCTCCACCGGAAGAGTCTGATGGTTTTTGGGAAGATTTGCATTTGTATTTGCTGAAATGCATACGCAACTGCTACGGAGTACATGGAGGAAGACATAGTTAGTACAAACAAACTGTTGAACATGAACAATTGATTGGTTTTATAAATCCTTTTCCTACGGATACACCACATGAAAGAAGGTGCTGCAACTCCGACTGGAACCAAGAACATGCATATTGAACGAGAAAGTCAAAGAACTCCAACCCGTCCCGCCATCGAGACATATATATGATTCTACTCTCAAACCGACTCGAAGAGCAGTAGTACCTCCTTTGCCCTCAACCTGCAGTCCCACCTGGCTCGGGAGTCCGAGCTGGCCGCCGAGGGAAAATACCCGTCCTTGAAGTACGCGATTGCGTCCACGTACTTGTCGCTCGTGCTCACCACCGCCGACAAGTGTTCATCCTCCAATTTCGCAAACACGGACTGCACAATCTTGGACGGCTTCTCCACGTTCTGGAAGATCGCCTGGAACCGCTCCACGGTCGAAAACTTGCAAATGCGGACCATCTGGTACTCCTCAAAGTTCTTGCTGTCGAAGGCCCCGGCCTGGATGCGCGTGAACAGGGAAAAGGAATCCTTCAACGGCAGCTGAAAATCCTCGTCGTCCGACGCAAAATCGGACAAATCCGAACCCGTCAAGTTGCTCCTTGCATCGTTCTCGTTATCATGATCATTGTGTTTGTCGTCGTCGAGAACTCCAAGAAGATGTTGAGCCCCGTCGTCGTCTGTTATTTCGAGCGCCAGCGACGCTGTCGTGCAAGGTGTCGTGGTTAATGGTGTCCTGGCATGCCGTTCTTTGTCTTTGGAGGTCTTCGAGCATTTTACAGGCGTCACACCGCATTTTTGCTCCGTAGAGGTCGTAAGCACAAACTCCGGAGAAGCAGGCACCACTTGCCGCTCTGCGGTGTCGCTACTTCCGGTGGATCTGTCGCACATTTTTTGCTCGGAAGAAACGGGTATAGGCCGGAGCCGGTCGTCGATTCCACTACGCAACCGTTGCCGGATAGTAGTTTCAGCCGAATATACTCTGATCAAGTATGTACGTAATCCTAATTGCCAAAGAAAAAGCGGGAGAGCGGAATTGTTACTCGAAAACGATACTTACATACTGCAGGTCATAAATCCATTTTTGATCCTGTTACAAAAGTTTCTTTCGTTCAAGGTTGCCTCTTGATTGGCTTCAATTCTTTTGAAAAACTATCAACAAAGGGAGCCGAAGGCACGACAAAGATCCGGTTCTTTTTTTCCCAGCATACCAGATCGTTCCTTTCGCGAATTATCAAATGGATCTTCTACCTAGTACAACATTGGCTCATGCATTTATTTTCTGGACATGATAGATAAGGATTTTTTCACATGTGGATCACGATCGGTTTCAAGCTTGTGCTCGACGACGACAAGATCCATGAAATTGCTAGATCGCTTGATCATCAAGTAGTGCCGAAAAAGTAAGTAGAAAGATCGACTTTTCGTACAATTTTCATGATGTGCTTGGGGTTGGGATCATTGCACTGTACTTTTACAACACTCAAATTTCGATTCCAGAGGTGAAAGTAGTAGCAGGATCCTTAGGCCATAGTCCTTTTCTTCGTAATTTGATTGTGCGGTGATAAAATTCCACAAACTGAAGATGCGGGCATTCTTACCTTGCTCAAGACATGCAGATGTTCTTCGTCTGACTATTTCTGACTTCGCGAATCTCCGATGCTGCAGAGCTGCAGGTGCTGGTAACATGTTGTCCGCTCGACCCGCTGTTGTCATGAAGGAGTTGCTTGCACAATGACACTCATCAGGCTTCACCTGAAAAGCGCATGTCCTATGAAAGAAGAAATCCGCGATCGGTATCTATCGCCGCTTTTCTCACTTTTTCAGCGGGTTTGGCAAATTGTGCCCATACAGGTGATGCCCCACCTTCCAGCTCTGCCCGTAGTTCTCCTGAAAGTGCCACAGGTAGGACGGTTGAAAAAACCCGTAGTAGATTCCCATCCTCAGCGTGGTCACGCCGACCAAACCGGCGAGGAGCAGCGGCCCATGCTCGCTCTCACCCATCGACTGCACCAACCCGTCAATTTGCCCTGCATATCAGAGGAATCACAAGGAAATTTCGACGGAATACTAATTTGCGATGCAAGAAACTGAAACAACTCGAGCTCCGTTTACAATTGGAAATAGAATCTGAGGAACGAAAAGGAAAATCGTTCGTAAAAATAAGCGCTGGTCAAGCGATTCATCAAGATTCTGGGCCGCAGAGCGTGTTATGCATACGAACGAACCATTCCGGCGAACAAAAATGCGAGTGAAGATTCGGGAGCAGCGGAAATTGAGAGCAAATCAATGAGTCCTACATTCACTACATCAATACCTGCAATTGCGAAGGGCAGTTCCGCGGCGTAAAATGGTTTATCGAAATCCGTGAAGAAAAGCGGAGAGCCTGCAAATTTTGTTTGTGCTTGTCTCGCTACACGGCGACTCCTCCAGATGGCATTGTCATGCTCATGCATCGGCCTATCAACTTATTAATTTACGCGTATAGAAAAAGTGCAGTAAGGGCATCAATCGCAGCACTTCTGCTGCTACCGCGACGAAACGTTCCAGTATGCATACCTGCCATGGCCACGTTTGCAGCACCCGTACCAACAACTCCGCCTGGTGAAGAGTGCGCGACAATCCCTGAAGAGCAACTCGCTGAACTGCTACTGTCAGCAGACGCAGCATGGCGGCCGGGAACGCAAGAAAGCGGCCCCGAGCTACGTACAGTTTCCGCGAGCACACTTTCCGAAGTCGTCGTGCCCCATGCGTGACGACCCGCTGAGCGGGAGATTCGTACACCCGTGCGCGACAACATGTTGCTGCGCGAGAAAAAATTTTTTTAGTGCTAAATCAAGCAAATCAAAAGAAAACAAACGCTGAACAGAACAACTACAAGCGCGTTAATGTCCACCGGGTCAGTCGCTCTTGGGAGCGACGGATTGCCCGGCCAAGCTAGTTAGTTACACACCCCGCTCTTCTTGCTGAGGCCTTCACTGGAGATTAAGTAGTTTGTGCATCAAAAAAAGCAAAACCAAAAACTCACTCACATTCACAGAAAATATCACAAGTCGAGCACGGGAAGACAACAGAAAGCCATGCTGGGCGAACACCGCAAGTAGTAGAGGCACAGAATTGATAACATTGCAGCAGCAGCTGACAGCTTGCTCATCTATCGTTCTGGCCAAGCGTTTGCTGTTGACATTTTTCGCGCAGCGCTCGCGTGCGAGCGAAAAGGATTACAGCAGTACGATCATTTTTTGGAAGTCCTGAATGCTTGTCGAGGGAATAATATGCGCACAGCGGCGCGACACCAGTTCTACATACAACCTAGTTTCTCAGCAACTCATAATCGTCTTCCACCCCGCTGTAGGCCTGCACGTGCCGCTTGATCTTCGATCCTTCCGCCCAAGTAATGTGGTCTTGCATGTCGCGTGTAACATGCAACGCGGAATTGGTCACGCGATCCGGCCCGATCCTAACGTGCCCGTGCTCGATGAGTTCAATCGCGTTCGTGAGGTTTTCCGCCATTTTCGTCTCGACCATAATGACCGGAAGTCTTCGCCGGCAAAATACCGACGCGGGAAGCTTCTCGGTCAGGGTTAAGGACTGCCGCGACTGGGTCTGTTGGAGGTGGTGTGAAGGTAGAAGTTTGTCGAGAAATGACGCAACATTTACTTTATCATCACATTACAACGAAATGCAAACACTAACAGAGCAGCAGCGGCAGCGGGTAGATATTTGCATGAAACAAGGAAGCAGATCATACGGCACGCATATCTTCAGATGCATTTTGCGCACCTGGTACTACGTTGCTAAATCGGAGGACATCGCTCAATAAAGTAAAACACCGGCCGATCAAATAAACAAAAGGAGCTTATCCAAAATTATACCAGTCCCATTGCAAACAGCTTCTCGAGCAGCAACTCGGTCATCTTTATTCTCTCTGCGTCGTCGCTTGGCAGCTTTCGCAACTGGGCCGTGAGTTTGGTAACCAACCCGGCAATTTTGTTGTACTTCGCATAGTCATCCCGATCCTGGATCTGGTACCTCCGGATAATGCTGCTTTCCCTCGTGGTGTCGTCCGACTTCCAGTCGTAAAAATTCGTCTTCTTCAGAAGCTTTTTCTCATGGTATTTCAACTTCCGCATTTTCGTGGACGGGAAGGGGGAAAGGTCGTCGTGGTAAGAAAGGTTAGCAAAAAAATCTTCAGTGGGACTCTGTGGTGTGCTCCTTTCGAAAGGAAAATGCTAAGTGTGGTCCTAAGGGCCACCGGTCGCGGTCTGCTCTACTTCTAGATGTTGCTTAGTGCTGTTTCAGTTTTGTATCTGCTATGCTCGGTCGCTTCCTGGTAAATTAGTCGATGTAGCGTTCTACTTACGTAGAGAGTCCTGAGCAAACGAATGCTGGCATAGAAATAGATTGATGCAGGTTTCTCGGGAAACTGTGCCACAGATGCACTGAAAAATACAACCAATCGTACAACAGGATCAGCACCAATTTCTCTTTTTTGATCGTCATGAGGACCTCAGTGTCTCCAACTTACCACGGTAGGATCGATCGACTTCAATCAGTGATCGATGCGAATTTTCGCTTCGTTTTTCTTTAAGAGCAAATCTACGATCAAGTACTGACTTTCTTCCCATTTATTTGCGGGTGGTGATCTTCGATCTTATTTCGTTCTTTTCTACTAACAATGCCTGCATGGTGGAATTGGAAGCTTGAGTGACGCCCAAACAACCACGCCGCTCGAATTTCTCTTCTTTTAGTCTGGGTCCGGCCGTGCCCGTGGCCGTGCTCCCGAATCAATATAAGTATACTAGTTCTACACGTCCTCCTGCCTATATTAGGTACCTTTAAGCGAAACAAAACGAGGACATGAGTGATCAAACCCAACTGACGGATCAACTAAATGCCTTCCTTCACTGTCCCAAACCCAAACTTTGTGGCTTGGAATAAACGCACTGCACCTGCGAACTTCTGGTGCTTAACAGCTCGTAGTAACTCATTTGTGTAGAAATCTTCAACTTGCTTCGGGCTTTATTCGCGAGGTGCGAAGGGCTCGCAACAAGAAAACCAAAATCATCGCCCGATCATTCTGTCGGCGAACCTATTTTTGTTGGTTCCAAATAAGACTAACGGCCGACATCAAGCTGTATCTCTGGTCGATCTGATCCTGTCCGTCGTCTGTGCTTGTTCGTGAAACGGAAACAAACTAGTGTAGTAAGGCCTGGGGTGTATTTTTGAAGCAGGAGTCAAATCACTGTGAGTGTGTCGTTGTAGGTCGTGGGAGGTGGTCAATTTGTGAGAGGGGTGACGTGGGGATGGGACTAGGCTACTTTCAGCTTCAGAAAAATTACATATCAACCTAGAAGCGGTAAGGTCTCATCAACCTGTGTTCAAATAAGAAGTGGCAGCCTCGATAATAGGGAAAATTATGACACGAAGAAAGCAGGCTCACGGCTTTATCTTCTACTTCGAAGAGGTACAAGGCGCTTTGCGAAATTCATCACGGGTAAGGAATGACAAAAAATTCAAATGATGCTTTATCAACAAGCATAAGCTCCCTCCTGAAATGCTTCTTACTTTGCCTTTGTTCATTTTGTTATCACGGGGAAAATTGCGAAGCGCGCGAGAGGCATTCTTGAGAAAAAATCATACAAAAATCCGTGCAAGTTCCGCTCGGTAGAGGACGATGGTCAACGTATCTAGGTCCACCGCGCTGGGGTACGCGCCTTCATCCCTGCACTTGCCTGTACGACCCAAGCGCAGCAGTCGCAGAATCGTTTTTACTTTGGTTTCCAACATTGCGTTCGCACAGCACTGAGACTTTCACGACCGCGAGTCGACGTGGCACTCGGAGAGTGATCACGTTGATCACATGCAGAGGCTCACATCAAAGGACCACGGCTCGCTGAACGTCAAACCATCGTCGACCCGGAAGCTCGCTGCCGGTGCGGGGAATGGGAAACCACTTTTACTTCTACACCGGCGAGGATACTTCTGGCTCCATCTGATAGAGCTCTTCTCCTTCCGTGTTCACCAATATCGGGCTGCTGGTTGGCATCCGTCGGTTGCTCTGCCCCCCGGCGCCGGCTCGCGAGCTCGCCTTCGCGGCGTGTTTGGCGTGATCCACGAAGCTCGAAAGCTCCCGGTTGGTGGTGGTGGTGGTTGTACCTGCCTCGTCTTGGAAAAAGGAGCTATGCATTGCAAATATGTCTGGGTCTGGAAAGCTGGAACTTGTGATGCTGACTTTGGACTCTAAAAAAATCTGTATTGCATGGCCAGCAAGAGGAGTCCAGTTTGTCGTACGCGGGGAGGGCATTTGTCATGCGGAATAGGCTGCAGGAAGCCTTCTAAAAATCTGTGATGCTACGTCATGCACTACAGGCGTTCTGGGTCATGGAAAATCTGCATGACAAGTCTTGCAACCTTCCAGACCCAGACATACACATATTTGCAATTCATAGGAGCGGCCCTCAAACAACGTGTCCACTCCGTGTTCCCGCTCGTCCTGGCCACGGCCATCGTCGGCGAACGTACTGACCGGCTGGTACAGTACGTTGTCCGTCTTTTTGTCCTTCCCCGACGCCTTGACGTCCAGTTGGACAGCGGGGGCCAGCAGCAAGCAGCTCAGCCCGGCGAAGTTGAGGAGTATGCCGAGCACCGTCCCGAAGAAGCTGGCTCTGGTGAAAAACCGATACTCCTCGAAAAAGATCGCACCGTACAGAAACTGGCAAATCAGGCCCAGTCCGGTACTTAACGTCACGGTCGTCAGCGAGGAGAACCGCAGCATGGACAAATTCAGGAGCGAAATGCTGCAAAACGCCATGCACAGGATGCCGAAAAGGATCAGAAGCAACGACGTCCGGCCGGCCGGGGACAAGAAGAGCCAGTGGACCAAGGTAAGCAGGAAAGAAGCCGAAGAAGATGTTGATGAACCACTGGTACCTGTAGTAGGGAAATAAATGATTCCATGGCTCCGCAGATTCGATTGCATCTCACCTCAACCTCAGGCACATGCTGATCATCCTCGCATACAATAAAAGTAAATCCTTTCTTGCAGCTACTGCAAGAACTCATCTATGAAAAAAGCCATACCTGAGCCCATCGAGGAATCTTCCGTGGTCCGTGTTGCTGCGCTGAGTTCGGTCGCGACGAGCGTCGATACCACTTTCGTTGAGGACACACTGATCGCGCCGAAGATACTGCTTAGCAGTATGAGCGCAAAAGGGCTGGAGGTGGCCGCGATTTTGCTGCTGTTCTTTCCAGGACTGCTAGCACCTCCGGACGGCGGATAGGCCAAAGGATCATCATTTTTCGTGTCTGTGAATCCTGTCGACAAGAAAGCTCCACTCGTAGAAGCTCCTGCAACGGTGCTGTCCTTCGAGAAGGTTGCAGCAGCAGCTTCGGCGCTTTTTGTCCGCGATCTGGATGGTGCGCACAGTTGCCGCAAGATCGGCCTGCCGAGGATAATGGTAACAACCACCGTCCCGGCGAACAAAACGTGAAAAAGCGGGCGAGTCAGGAGGTAGTAAAAATGCTTTAGATCAAACACAACCTCCGTGTTGGCGTCCTCTTCCTCTTGCAGGCCATACTATCAAAAGGAAAAATCCCCCCTCCCCATATCGAAATGAAGTTTCTGATGCTGGATTTCCGTACACAAATCAGATTTGTCTTGCAGTGCAGGACTGCAGGCATATGTCAAGCCTCAGTCGAGAGGTTTTGAGGTAGGCGCCTAGCATGACAAACGTGTATGCCCTAAGCCCAACAGCATCACGAACCGCCTGCAAAAAGCGGAACGCTTTCTGGACTTGCCTTCTTGCAAGACAGACAGGATTTGAGGTCACAAATGCGCATCACAAATTGTCAGACGGATACGTTTTCGATATGGGGAGGGGGGATTTTTCCTTACGATACATACAGCACCGACACAATGCACCCGGCGAAGATCAGCAGAACGCTGTAATAGTGAAACCTCTGCAGTTATCAGAAGGAAAAATGCCCCCACCCCCGAACTTGAAAGCATTTGTATTGCAAACCTTTCCAAATGAAACACTCGCCCTCTTGCACCTATCAGCATCACAGGTTTCCAATCGCGAATAGCGAAAATTTCTATTGCAAAAGACCCCAGCAAGAGCGGCGCTTGTCATGCAAGCGATGCGATACACGCCTAGAATCAGCATCAGAAAGATTCATACTCGTTTCATGCATGACAAAAAGTTTTCATTTGGAAACTTCGCATCACAAATTTTTGCAATTTGAGGGGCGGAGGGCACTTTTCACTGTAATAGCAGTTGCTCACCTGGAGGTTGATGTGAGTGTGACAATTGACAATTGTTTTTTGATCACATTAATGCGTTTTCTTGTTGTTGGTTGCTGCTTCTTATTCTTCCTGATTCCCAACACCACCATGCATCCTCTTCTAGGCAACGACGATGTTGCGAAACGACTTTTCTTGCATTCCTTAGTACTCACACCAGGTGCCAAGCGACTACTTAAATGTTTTGCAACATGTACCCAAACGAAGTTTTAGTCCTTACTTAACAGCAGCAAAATGTGGAAGTACAAGACGATATACCGAGCAGGCATGGTGTTAGGACACTGTTCGCGACGAGAGCCGAGGGTGCGAGACAGCTTAGCACCGACTGCGGTGCCAAGGCCAATGCTGCAGGCATCAGCAACTGGCCGAGCAAAAAACAGGAGAACCCGAAGACCCATAGCGGCTGCTGGTACACTGGCTTGGGCTTTGACGGCGACGTTGCAGCGCTGGTCGCGCCCGGACTCGTCGTGGTATTGGTAATGCCACCTGGTGCATAAAAAGTCGGAGCTTGTTTAGAAGAACTTTTTGGCGCAAACCCAGCCGCCTGCTTCTCCGCTCGTTCCGCTGAGACCTTCTGCAGAACCAGGCCAAGAGTGCAGACGAAGGCACTACCCTGTTGCAGAAGCACGCCATAAAGCGTGTTGGTCGTCGTCGCCATAAAGTGCTCCTGCTCTGGTCCTCTCTGCACGTTCCCTTCCGCTCCCTCGAGGTAATGAGCGTTCTGCTACAAGAACACCAACGAGATAGTGCCTCTGCAACCGCTACTATCACGGTAATGGCTAGGTTCTTGCCGCCTGCTTCTCACTCGCGTCCGTCGCCATAGTTTCTCTCTGAGATGGAAGTACAGCTGCCATTATACTGGTTTGGTGGTACCGGAAGTGTGAAGAGACTGTGATACGCTAAAATTTTTTCCGCCAAGACATCAGAGATAGCACTAAAGATCTCGATTGGACGATCAACACTCTAAAAATAGCTCAACTGAAGTATGTCGCTGCTACAAACATGGTTGCCGACGAAGTAGTTCGTTCCCTTCGCATTGCAGCCCAAGCCTGTTCGTGCCAGTGCAAAAGTGCTTGAGCTTTTGCGAAAGATCCGATGCATTTGGCAAAGAATCTTCTCAGGAACAGCCTCGATCCAAAGGCAGGAGGACTTGAGCATTCTGCGTCGGTCTGTCATTTCCAATCTTCGCAGCTACAGCTAAGCATTTGTCATCTGTTATAGAGTTTGCCGAGGAGAACTTCAAAGTCACGAGCATCTTTTCTCATTTGGTCACGTTTCATCTTCAAAACTTCTTGCTCTTCCCTCTCAGGTCGTAACAGTTTTGGCTCATTTTGTCCGTCCACATCCTTGTCTAGCGCCTCGAGATTTTTTACCTCTACTTCATCATCTTCCTCATGATCAAGCGGTAGCTCCACGTCGTAGTTGTGGTCGTTATCGGTTCTACCCCCACGACCACCCGGACGGCTTTTTTTTCCACCCGCGCGCGTTTCTGGGACCTCGAACACCTGCACGAACCTGCCGTCGTCCGCCTCCAGCAACCCCTTGAATTTCCTCCACGCGAAGAAAAACGCTTTTTTTCCCGCTTAAAAACGCCCCCACAAGAATTCCAGAGCTCCTGCTGTAGTGGAGATTTTTTGCATGATCTACAACTGATACTGATTTGTATGAATGTGCCTGTATGCAAATCCGCATCAGAAGAATTCCTCCTCCTGGTCGTGTTTTACTTTTAGTGTTTGTATGTAAGCAATGCTGCATAACAGGATGAGCAGATGGGTTGAAATGCGTCCGTCTTTGCTAACCACCTGCACAACAGCACAGATACAAACATGTCAACAGTCGGGACTCCCAACCCTGCAGGGTGTGTGTTGCAGAGTTGCTCTTGACAGGCTACGCCGGGGTGGGGATGTTTTCGTTGAGGATACCTTTCTATAGCTGCTCATGAGCACCTTCTTCACGATCCCGCCCAGCCTTTCCGTGGCCGCGCCCTTTTTGAATGAATAGAGCAGGAGATTCTTCAGCGCGTCTTGCTCGTTCTGCAGGTCTTCCGATGCTCTTTGTTGCTCCTGTCGCCGGATGAGCTCGCTCTTCTCTTTTGCGACGTCGCGCGTGCTCCTCAAATTCCCCTGCTCGATAAGGTCCAGGGCCTCAAAGTGCTGATAATCTTCCTGTTCCATGATCCCCGGCGCGGCCCCGCTCCTTGTTGCTGCACTCCGACCACCAGCAATGGCAGAAGTGCTGCTCGTGGTCGCAACACTATCCAACAAAAAACAAAAACGCTGCGCTTCAACATCGTAGGAATCATGCGGCTGCGAGCCTAAGTGTAATCTACTTGTGCAACTGCTACAGCCAGAACTACGCGAAAACGAACAACAAAACTCACATGCAAAAGCTGCCTCGTCCGGGACAGGGTCGATGAATGTCGTGCATACAAAAAGTGTTAACGTCTTCAACACAAAACGCAGTTTTCTACTACTTTCGCCCCCATACAACATCGTCTTCGTTGTCCGTCTTACCAGCTGCAGCGCGTCCGGGACTGGGTCCAGGTAGCACTCCTGGCGCTCCTTGTCCGCTAAATTGGCCCACCCAACCAGGTTTCCCGCGGCCACATTCCCGCGTCGGCCACGGACCTCCAGCACTCTCACCGTCGCGTCCTGCGGAATGAAGCCAACCGTCACTCCGTCCTCGTACCGTGTGGACCGCACACGAATCCGGCACGTGGCGGTGAACAGCCTTTGCTTGGGCGCCGCAGAAGCTCCAGCAACCGCCCCATCGCGCCCAGCGTTGTCACGACGTCGTCGATGGCTATTGACGTCGTTCCGCGATGAAGCCTCGGTCGGTCCTCGGTCCTGCTGCTCCCCCTGCCGATGGAATAAATGCTCAGGATCTACTTTTTCCCTTGATGGCGCAGTGGAGGACGAAGACGGGCCGAAGGGCTGTGCTCCATTGTGCTGCGTATCATTATGATGGTGCTTTGTATTACCTTGATGAGAGATTTTTGATTCGCTGTGGTTGTTTTTCTTTCTCGTCGCTGGTGGTCGTGCGGAAGGCCCTGTAAAACGATCTTTGCTGGTTGCAGCTCCGCCGACTTGCACCCGCTGCTTCGCTGCGCCTTCCGCTCCGCCGGGTGGTGCATCGGGGCCTGCAGCACTGCCGTCCTGACCAGCGTCAGCCTGCTCGTCCGAACCATACAACCACGAAAACATCTGGAGGACTTCTCGCAAATGCGAATCGCTATCGCGCTGAGAAAGATCAAATAATTGCTATTGCACAACTTCCAGTTAATATACAAACGTACACATTTTTTGCCTGCGTAGTCGTGTTCCCTCGCACTCAAGAGCCCTCAGACAGGTGTTCATGGCGAGAGACTCCATGCTTTAGGTTGGCAACAATCCTGCGAAGCCGTTCCTCTCGGTCACTTTACTTACGGAGGAAGAAGATAAAGAACGACCGGAACACTGTCACGAGCGGCTCATCCGGAAGAAACGACGGGACGCAAAAAGTGGGTCCACCCACTAGTAGTGGCGCCACTGCCGTGCAGTAAAGTGTAGTTTTTTCAAGCAGGGGACCACGGAATCCATACTACAGCCGTAGCTATTGTGCGGAAACACGAAGTCCTGGACAACTTTTTGTTCCTGCAGCCCATTTCCAACTTGGTAGTCGATTCGCGTTTCCTATTTCATCTTCCGCCCCGTCGTGTCTCTTCTTCAAATTGCGGCGCTATCTATCAGTAGAAAAGAAGCTGCGTCGGAAATTCGTCGCGTTCTCGATCTTTCGAGAGGGACACTACGAAAGTTGCTCGTCTGTACCAATTTTCTAGCTGCGGAAAAAGAAGACAGAAAAAACGCGAACCTACACAGTTGGATCTTTAGATTGAAGCCAATTTGTTCTCATGCACATGATCCGCAGCAGCGGCACGAGTTGTACTAGGCAGCAGGTCCTACTTCACCTATCGGGTCCATGTGCAATCTTACGTGCCTACAATCAGCTTCGGGTCGTCATAGAAATTGTTGTGCCCTGGTTCCTGACGAAATTGATTTAGCATAGCAGTTGACAGATTCTGCTCTTGTCTGATTAGTGTTAAAACGGATAAAAGTAGCGGTGATACTTTTGATGTCGCTGTAGATAAAATTAAAAAGGAATTCACGGGTAGAGCTTTCATATACCGAACTAAGATAACTTTGTAGCTACTACAGGGTACTTCTTCTGAGGAGCTGTAGCTATTGGAGCACTTGTAGCATCCCATTTTTGTGCGGTATGTGATGTTGACACCGCATCGAAACTCGTGACTTTGACGCGTCTCGGAGGATTCTGCGTTCGGTCTCCTGATGTTGTTCTTCGGTAAAAGTAGTCGTGGTTTATTTTCGCAGGAGATGATGAAGTTGTTGTATTTATTGACCAAGAAGCTCGTTGTTTACTTGGCCATCATCATCTTGACGAACTCCTCGTAGTTGATCTGCCCATCGCCGTCGACATCCGCCTCCCGGATCATCTCATCGACTTCTTCGTCCGTCAACTTCTCACCCAAGTTGGTCATCACGTGACGCAACTCCGCGGCGGAGATAAAACCGTTGCCATCGCGATCGAAGACCTGCAAAAAAGTCATACTTACAAGTGTGGAAGAAGCAGTTGTACATTTGTTGCATTTGTTGTCTTGTATGATGGTCACATGCATGCCAAAAAGACTCCGGCATGAAGTAAAAGATCAATCAAAAATTATTGTAGACACCTTGAACGCCTCGATCAACTCTTCCTCGGTATCCGTATCCTTCATTTTCCGGGCCATCAAGGACAGAAACTCCGGGAAGTCGATGGTTCCGTTACCATCGGCATCGACTTCGTTGATCATGTCCTGCAATTCAGCCTCGGTCGGGTTTTGACCTGCACAGTAAGTGGACTTGCATTTCTTGTTGTGAGGCTCGCTACCGAGCGAAAAAAAAAACTCACATCTTTATGCAAATGTAACGAAACATCAACATGCGTAGGAGAAAAAAATACATGTGAGTCATATTATGGCCGCACTTAAAGCAATTTTTAAGTAAGTACCCAGAGAACGCATGACGGTTCCCAGCTCCTTGGTGGTAATGGTGCCATCACCATCCTTATCGAACAGGGAGAAAGCTGCGGTGTGTATTTTTTTTCCATTCCGAATAGGATTAGGAACTGCAACTACAAGCACTACCATGCATAATAACAACAGACACTGCTTGTTTCATAAATCTTCCTCGAAGATAGAGCGTGACGAGGCAGGAAATCCTATGTGATACCCTCCTTGAATTCGGCGATCTGCTCTTCGGTCAACTGGTCAGCCATCTTGGTTTTGTTGTTGGTGATCAAAAATCACACTAACTTTACCCTTCTACTCTTGCACGAGAAAAAAAAACCGTCTCCTATGTTGTTTTCAGTGGAAAGTGCTTGAGTCTTCTCTTGAAAGTTTTTGGTCAGCTTCTACTTCTTTGCGCACTAGTATGTTGAGACGGGTACCTATTTTTGAGCGACGTGTAGTGCCTCAGCAATGGCTTTGGTAGCGAAGATAGTTAGAGCATGTGCTGTAGAAGTCTGAAAAGCGAAAGCGGTTTATTACGCGAATGTTGTTGCCCTGGCGCCTTTTTTACGAGCTGCGTATCAATCGAATGCGCTTTTTAAAGAATGAATCACGCGCGCGCCTCTTGAGGTTCGCGACGGAAAGCCAGTTGTCACGTGCTGTAAGCAGTGTAGTACTTCCTGAAACATACTTGGTATTGCAGTTAAGTGCACATCTGAACCCTTCTTACATCATCTTCTAGCGGGAATCAAGATCAGCATCAACAGGGGAGGGAGACGTATTACATCAAGGAGCAACTACCACGCCGACAATACGTAGAACAGGCTTTTTGCAATTGCAACAGCAGCTAGGGGAGTTTTACTTTTTTATTATCAGCATCGAGGCAGCTCTTATGACGATTTACAACAACCAGAATCCCGCTTGTTTCTTGTACGTAAAAACTGCCTGACGGAACGGCACTGACAATGTCGTGGATGATGTAGCTCAATTTTTTTCGACGTACGAATCTGTTCACCATTTTTTCGTATAAGTACGCTTAAGTATTCATCCTTTGTGCAATTCTCGACGAAAAAATCTGCCTCTGAAATGGCAGATCTTGGCGGCGTCTTTTGCGGGGCCCGAATGTGGGCCAAAATGAGGCCCATACCATGCGAATTTGCTGTTTTTTTTCGGACTGCTGCTTTTTGGGCGCCCCTTTTTGGGCGCCCGAAACCGCCAGAAACTAAGGCGGTGACCGTCTCAGAAGGGCGCCCCTTTTGCCGGCTCCCCTGCGTCGTTTTATCCAGTGCGAATCGATAGTTTTCGACCGGGCTTGTTTGACAGCAAAGCCCCGGCCGCTTGATAAATGGAAATCTTTTATGTGCAAAAACACTTCCGGCCGCTTGAAAACTGCCGGTCATTTTGCAGGTGAGGTGTCAAAAAAACAGCTAGGATAGAACGTTCGTGACCTCACTACATACAAGGAGCAACCAAAACGCCGACAATACGTAGAACAGGGTTTTTGCAGCAGAGGCTAAAGGAGTTGTTTTACTTCCTATGTATTATCAGCATCGAGGCAGCTCTTCTGACGATTACAACAACCACAATCCCGCTTGTTTCTTGTACGTAAAAACGGCCTGATGTAGCACAAGAACGGTACTGACAATGCGGATGTGCTAGCTCACTTTTTTCTCGACGATCAAATCCGTTCACCCGTTGTTCTTGTACGCTTATTCCTTTGGTGCGCAATTTTCGACGAAAAAATCTTTCTGCTTCATGAATAGAGTGAGTTCGATTTGCAGGATACGGTGTCTGGAAGCAAAATCAGATACAGATGGTAATGGTCTTCGTCAAGTGGCCTCCTATCAAGCAAGAATATTTTTCAGTTTTACCGTCTCATCATGATGGTCGGGAACAGTAGTACTTGTTAGTTTGCTTCACACAACGAACGAGGTTTCTCTCTGCTCTATCGAGGAACAACAGTATTTCGCGACGAGTACTAGACGTTCACTTGCGTCTCGACAGAGATAGCACCCAGCAGCATAAAAATTGGCACAGGCCATTAGTTTCAGCCGTTCCGCTGGGCTGCTTTACGTTGATACAGTGCACTGCCTTCAGGTTGTTCTTACATTTGCTACTTTGAGCGTCCTGCCTAAACCTGCCTTTGTTCTCTTTGTTTTTCGTCCAGGTCCGGTTGCTAAAATGGTAAATAATCCTTTGTCCTTACTTTTCTTGCCGAGCAATAGCTACGCGCGGGAGGCACTCTGCCTTCAAACGACCAAAACGTGAATAAGTATATTATATCCAAAAGTCTTTTTCAAAAAAACAATTCCGCATACGCACAAGCAAAACTACGAACGGTATAACCACGACAAGGAGGACGAAGTAATCATCCCCCCGCTCCCGAAGGTCGGAAATAGTTCGTCGACGCCCCAGCCACACTGGTTCCGGCCTCGCTCGCAGAGCCGCCGGCTCCGCCGGTCCGCCTACCCGGTCGACTCCTTCCCCCGGTCCTGGACCCGAAGTTCCGCCGCGGCCGCTTCGTCGCGGTCTTGGGCTCGGTTTGCCGCACCACGTGCAGCAGAATTCTCACGTTGCCGTCCATTGTCGTGGTCTTCAGATTCGCTCGGTTCAAAGGATTCTGGTCCCCGTCCGTATTCACGATGTACTGGGGACTCAGTAGCGTCAATATGCATTGAAAAAGCATAAGCATCGCGCTAAAAGTATAAATCGCATTTCCAAATTTTTTGAAGAACAAAAAATGGAAGTTGTCATTCTATGTCAGATAAAAAGTTAAATTTGTCACGCATGACTGCGATTCGTATTCGTATGCGCACGATATCTTTGCAGTGGATAGTCGGCGCCGCACCGCAAAAGTAATTGGTCAGTTGGTCCCGGATCGTGCCGCACGGAGCCCACATCTTTGCACTGATATCGTACTCGCCGGACTGTCATTTTTTTACGTACTTACACTACTTTCTACAAACAACCTGATGCACCGCTCCCCCGTTTCTTCTGCTTGAACAAGTTTCAGTTTATCTGATCTACTTCTTCACATCCACAGCCGACAGTCTTTGATCGATACGAGAGTCCTCTGCAAAGAGATAGAGAAACTTTCGCTTTCCGGAATTTCATACATAGGTAGGAATATTGATGCGACCTCAAGTACAAGTACAACTCCAAGAAAGATCGATAAACATACAGATACGAGATATAATTTCCACTGAATAGTACCCTATCCGGAATATCCACGTAGCTGTAACCGAGAAACTGGTGCCTGTCCCAGCTGTCCTTTTTGTACACTTGCAGCAATAACCGCAGCGGCACAGGCGCCATAATGTCCTTCTCCCCCACTTTCTTTCTCCCGAAGTGGCACTCCAGTCCGTGGTTAAAAATTGCGGCCGTTTCCGTGCTGCCAATGCTGCTCCAAATGGTGCAGGCCCGTTTCCCCGCGTGGCCACCCGTGGAAAGGGATTCGTCGCTGCGGTACTTGAATTTAAATTGCTTGCTCTCGTGGAACTCGTACCTGAAAATGTTGGAAATTTGTGTAAAATTAAATGAATCCAATACACTCACGGTGGGATGATGTTGATGACGCACGCGCCTACTACCCAGATACATCAACTTATCAGGCCTCACGAACGAGGACGACTCAGCATGACCGGCACGGCAACCAAAACAACTCCATCTTGCACATCCGATAACTCAGAGGCCATAATATTGAAGTACATAGACGGAAAATGAAAGTGAGCGTGAGCCTGATAGTGCACAAACATTACTCTAAGCAAAGGCCATGAAACTACTACTGAGTCTGAAACTATACATGACGTAATAGCAGTCTTGCGAACTGCTAAATTGTTGGCAGCTTTTGAGCAGACACCGCTCCTCCCACAAATCTACGTCGAGCGGAACCGACAGTGGGTTCACCGAACGAATCACGTAGTCCTCGTCGGGGTGCCCCTATGCAGTGAAAATGCGATGCCAAGGTCTAACAGAGCCCCTTCATCTCCATATTTTGATGCCAAGAACTTCTCCGGCTGGTGTACTACTTATTCTCGAATGGCTTACGCCCTCAGGGTGCACGTCCGGGCAGGCGTTACCAAATGCCCGTTTATTTCCCCGACCTGTTTTCAGCCGGTCTTAGATCTTTAGGGGACACAAGCGACGCCGCCCAAAGACAGCGAAATGCTGATCATACCAAGGCTTGTCAACGCTTCGTCAACAACCACCAGTATATTTTTTGCATGGGCACCAAAACAGTAGCTTGCCCCGTAAACAATCGTGCATGCAGCGCACTCTTCCAGACCGAGACATCAATGCGAAACCTGATAGCGCCTTCTTAGGTTCAAAACTCAAAATTTCCGCGAAAACCGACACCACCTCGTCTTCGTCCTGGTCCAGCGCAAAGCCCTCGAACCCATGACCCGCAAGGTTTTTCCGTAACGCGACGGCCTTCATGTCGATCTCCTGGATGCGCTGCAGTGCCTTTTTTTTGCTGTCCGGGTCGAGCTATCAAATACAAATATAATCCCTGAGCGTCTGGAGTAGAGGTGCCAACTTGTGATGCTCTCTGCCAGTCAAATGAAAATCTGTCATGCGTGGGAAGCAAACGTTGTCCATCTTTGATCACTTTGAAACAGGATTTCTCATGATTGAGTTTGATGCTGATGCAATACGGGCATTACAAAGCTCTCAGAAAACTTGTGATGCTAGGAACCGCACACCTTCTGGAGCTGGACGACCATGCAAAACCTGCATGACACCTTCCCTTCTGCATTTTTCCCGACCCAGGTTTATTTAATTTACAGCGGATACAGGCGGCTTCCCTGCAAGTTCCAACACGAACTCGTATCGCGTGCCGCCCGGCAGAGAGAAAACAATGCGGCTATCCCCGGGTTCCGGTGCCAGGTTCAACTCCTTGGTCTTCTTGCTCTGCCTATCCGACGGGGCTTCATCTGCGGATTGTTTGTTATTCGGGTTTGGATGGATCCCTCGAGGAAATCAAATTGCATACAGATGGCGACTTCATCTTCGCCCTACTAACGAGAACGACCTCGACGGCAGCTTCACAGATTGGATTTTTTGAAAAACCGCAAGCATGCTACAAGGATGACTCGTGCCGTTGTAGAGGTCGTACCAGAAGTTCTTGATAACACGGACAAAGATCATAACTGTGAAGAACAAGGTCGTGTGCGTGGTGTGCCCGTACTCGTGATCGTGTCGAACTACACCACACAAAAAGAACAAGATCAAACAATAAATACAGAGTCGTGGCGTAATCTCCAAAGCCCCGCTCTCCGGTAGCGCAGCTAAACACGCAAGTTCCACCTCGTAGCGCTTCTCGTTTTCTTCGAGAGCAGCCATGATGTACATCGCTTGCGGTGGCTGGTACCCAAGCGCCGTACTGAGTTTCGGCAGCTTCTGGCCAGCGGCGGGACCGCGCTTGAAAAGCTGTGAAAATGAATTTCGATAGGGGAAGTAGTCAAGTATTAGAAGTCATCATTATGTCTCAAACGTAAGTCAATTTGGAACCAACACCGAGTGACATCAAATGACAAAGGCACAGTGGTCACCAAGACAACAAAATTAAAAGACTCTCGTACTAGGTCAAGCAACTTGTGTTCCTCGAGCGTTTTCGTCCTGATGTTAGGAAACTCGTCGGCAGCAACCTTGGTGAAAAGCACTTCTCCCGCTGCCAGCTTGCCGGAAGCGATTGTACCGCGTGTAAAACCGTCGCTGCTACATAGATATAGATACTGTATTTGTACGGGCGGTCGCTATACGTACTGTAGTTGTAGTAAGCAAGCATCGTATAGAATTTTCTCATGCGGATGCGTTGTGAATCGCAGCCGAAAATAGTGGTAGACGTCTTCATCTGTAAGCATCTTCATGCAGTTGTTTTTTACACGTGATACATTCCCTGCTGGATTTGTTTCACGTTTTCCGCGGAGAGGGCCAGAAACTTCTTCCCGTGGTGCGAAACGTGGTTCGGTGGATAGCTCTCCCGCAGCGCCTGCACCTCGTGCGCACCGTACACCTTCTCTTGCCACTGGAACTCGCGAACCATGGCATTCTCGTCCGTTTGCGTCGCGCCGCCAGAGACTGCCAGGCCGCTGGTGTTCGTGGACAAAGGTATTAAAATGGGGCAAAAATAACCGCAACAATCAAGCCCTCGTGTTATGATGCTCGTGCTCCAACGAAAGGCGACGCAAAGAAAGTATTTGTTCATACCTACTTAAAAACATCACGCTGGTCTACTTTGATCAAGATCATACTCAATGTAATCATTCGACTTTGCTTCGGTGGGTGGTGCAGGTGCATGTATACTAGTAACAAGAGAACTGTATAAAAAAAGTTCTGGCCCCTGTGCTTGTGTTGCGTGAACCTGCGCCGGCTACCATTCCTTACTGTGGCCGGAAATCCTCCTCCTCCTGTGCCATCCATTCCACCGAGCTGCCCATCCCCTGTTTCCTTGTTGCTCGTAAGTTTCCGAAGCGTGGCCCTCACCCGGAAACTGCTTTTATTTTCGTCCACGTACTGCACACTCGCTTCCGACCCGCGCAGTCCTGTGAGCGTCTCCGCATACGGCGGGCTTTCCTCGAACAGGGTCTGCGACAATCGGGCGCCCATGTCGCTGCAAGAACCGTGGAGGTGAAACCTTCTGGAAGGCCCAGAACTTTGCTTTCCACTTCAACCGCTGGTCTTATTTCTAGGAAAAGATAGCTCCAGCAGAACCAAAGGTCCTCGCATCTTCATCTTCAATCACGCGCAGCTGCGGGCGCGCTGCTACTGGTGCATGCACTGGAACGACCAGGCAAAGACGGACCGTTCCGAGCATTATATTTTGCAGAGGCCGTCGTCACACCATCTTGGTTTGTTCACCTTATACATAGTTATAGCTGCGGCGCTACTACGAGATGGGTACTTCCGCGATCCGCGATTTGTGTTTGTTTCCCCGAGTACATTCACTCAAAAGAAGGTTGATATTATCGGACGACCATGCATAGAGCAAAACGATTTTGGATGATCAAGCATGGGAAGGGGCGTCAACCGAAAGTTGTTGCAAACAACTTCTTTGGACAGACCGAATAGCAGCTACCAGGATTCGTGAGCGGGTACATCAATCACCTTCTTCTTCTTGCTTCAATGAATACATACTCCTGCAGCCGCGTTATTTACGTTACGGGACCACAGGGAGCGGAGAACAACACAGACATGAACAGGCTCCTTTTGATTGCAGCACACCTCAGTTACCAGTGCGAACCGCTCGTCGTACTGGTGCTGCGCAGGCCGCGGGTAACGCTACTACAAGGGTCGTCTTTCCCCATACGTAACAAACGTCGTGAAAGAACTCTTGATGCTTTTTACTAACTTACTTCGCACACTCAACATGTCGTAGTCGCTTGTCGCTGGACATATGATCATCCGTTTTTATAACCGTACTTAGTGATTTCAAATCACATGAATTGAAAGTACAGATCATAAAACTTGATGCAACTCGACCGCACAGCGAGTAGCGGTGCTTCAGGATGAATCAAAAAGAAATATTCGAACGAGCAGCTACGAAAGCCTCGACTTTCCGACTGGTGCTTCTGGTGGCCTAATCATCGTCATCGGACTCCCGACTCATGTCTCCCCCGCTTCCCGGCACCACCCACAGCCCCCCGTCGATGCACTTCCTGAGGTACCTCTGCGCATCGTCGGAGGGGAGGGACATAAACGCTTTCTGCAGCTTCTCCGCGTCTTTTTCCAGAAACGCGTCCTGCAGCACCGTCGGCAGCGAGTCGAACACCTCCTGCGCGTCTAGGCCTCCGGGGCCTATTTGCTTTTCATCTGGAGGAACAGCGCCCCCGTCTTCCTCCAGTTGTGTGGCTGGAGCAGCAGGAGCACTGAGTCGCTCAGAACCAGTTCGTGTTGTACTAGCGTTTCTGCTCGTGCCGTCCTTTGTTGATACTTTTTGTTCGGTCGTACCAGAACTTGACGTGAGGTCGTTGCTTCCGACTACCACACCTCTTTGCCCCGCCGCTCTCTCTTCCTCCTCGATTTCCTTGATTTTTTCCACCGCTCGCTTCTCGATCCGGGACACAAACTGCGAAGTCGTCTGAAAAGGAAAACTCGCCCCTTCGTCCCATATCAAAGCGACGTCTTTGATTCTGGATTTGCGTTGTACAGAAAAAGTCTAGAACTGTCTTGCAATAGAGGGCTGCACCCGCAGGCACCGACATACTGATCCTGAATATAAAGAGGATTTGACATCGGCGCTTAGCATAGCAAACGCCTACACCGTAGGCCCAACAGCATCACAACCCGCCTACATAATGCGGCGGAGCCTGTGGCGTTGCCTTACTGCAAGACCGAGTCGATTTGTGGTCACAACTCAACAGCATTGCAAATTTTCTGTGGCGTGCCTTTTCGATATGGCGAGAGATGAAGGGATTTCTCCTTACGATAAACCGCCTGCTCGAACGACTGTTTCAGCTCCTGGTGCTCCCGTTCCTCCGTCTTGTCCGCGGTCACGGTAGAGAACGCGACCACCAACTTTTCGTACATGCTCTCCACCGCCTTTTTGTTCACAATAACGGCTGCGTTGGCTGTTGAAGCACCGGCTTCTTGCGACATCAAATTGGTCCCGGGGTCCCCGGTCTGGATCATTTTGCTGAGCGTCAGGGCCTGCGCGATCAGCTGCGCCACGATGGCCATTCCGTGCACATATTCCTTCGGCTTTTTCTCAATCTCGAGCTCCAGCACGCGGAACATCAGAAAGGTCTCCGCGTCGGAAGAGAGCAGCACCTCGGGGTGTTCGAGAATCACCTTCACCGACTTCTCCACCAACTGCTTCTGCTTCGACGCGGCGGTAAGCTTACTCCTAGCGGGCTTGGAGGACGAGAAGGTGTTCTTTGCAGAAGCAGGAGGTACTGATCCACCTTCAGTTGATTCTGCATCCGGAAGAGCACTTGTTGACGGCGTTGCTGATGCTGTTGAGCAGTGGTCTTTGGTCGTCCCGCTCACAGTATGATCCTCCTCATCGAACAGATCGTCGCAAATTCTACAGAGCTTCTCCAGCAAGTCGTTGTTCGTTTTCGCGTACTCGACAAATTTCTCCGTGTCGACGTTGTCGTCGACCTTCGGCGCGTTCGCCGTCTTGCTACTAATCACGCTCTTGGAGTAAATCTGAAGGGTTTTTCTTGGATTTAATATCTTGTCCGAATCTAGATCGCTTTATTTAGGCTGTCAGAAACACCCGTCCGGCGCGAAACTGTCGAAAGCGCAGGGACAACCAAAAAAAACACGGAAAAGTCAAAGTCGCAAGTCGTCCGCTGCGGTCAATGTTACAGACTCAAACTCCTGATTTGATTTGATTTGGTTCTCTTGAACTTGAAGGGAAAATGAATACTTACAACATACCTCCGTGCTCATCTTCTCCGCGTTCACCCGTCTGCTGGTGACTCGTTCCAGCTTTGCCAGTTCCTTTTCCTCCGCCTCCAGCTGCTTCTGCATATTCTGCCCCTTCAGGTGGTTTCTCCCCGCAGCACCTAGCTGCCGCAGTTCCTTCCGAAGCCGCTCGACGCTTGCGTATCCATTGCAAATATGATTATTTCTGGGTACGGGAAGAAGTAATATTGCATCAAATTTTTTGTGAACAGATGTTGCTGACGCTTCCGCACGCAAATGCAAAAATCGGCTTTACATGGGCTGCGCCAAAAGCGGTCGATTCCTTGCTAGGTAAATAGCTGACTTCGCATGCAAAACAGGTATCAGGAGGCCTGAGCAAAACTTGTAAAGTAAATGCTTTAATTTTTTCGATGCATTCCGGACGACCGCCTGGTTGTGAACGTGATCCAAAAGATGCATCACAAATTTCCACATCCTTTTCCTTCCAGACCCAGACATATATATTTGTCTTGCATATGGCGCGGAGCTCACTAATTCTCTTCTCCTCCTCCGCATCCCGCTGGCTACGCTTCGCTTTCGTGTACTTTTTCTGTAGTGGAGGTTTTGGATTCACATGGATTCTACTTATTCGGTTTCTATGTGGTCCTGTGCATTGAAATCCAACTGACTGTGCCGTGGTCGTAGTGCATTGAAAAACATGAGAGAGTCCTCAGTTGGGCTCGGGCGCCTACTTTATGTTGCATGACAAAGGAAATTAATATTAAAGAGAAACTGAAACATGATGAAGAGCAAGGGTCAAACGAAAAAATACAAAGGAGTCCTTGTCGATGCAATGGGGCAGGTCCTCCGCTTCGTCGTCCGAGCACTCAATGTGATCCCATTTGGAATAATCAGCAAGCCGTGCCATTTTTCTTCAGGTTCACCAGGACCCGCGTGATGGTATCCTCAGCAAGTAGAAGAGAACTGGGCCGTACAAATTTTTAAACCTACTTCTGTTCTCGGTCGCGGCAGTGGAATTGGATATAGTACTTACTCGTAGGGACGGCGCAGAGAGGAGTCGCAAATTCCGACTCCAAAACTTAACGCAGCGCCGGCTCAAGAAGCTGCCATCACACACTCACTGGGCAATCAGAAACTCGTCTTCTACGAAAATTTCTACTTCTACTTTCCTTCACATTGATATTACAAGTCTACATGTACATATCACAATGTACTTACAACAATGACTGATCAAGCGTTTTTCAAGTTTGTTCTTTTTGTTTTTTCTACTAAGAATCCGTGCAAGAAGTCAACCTCGACACGCACGCGAGCGCCCTGGTTGCTAGATTAGGACCTAGTTGCGTACATCCCCGCTCGTGCTGCGCCCTCATCGGAATCATACAACAATAAATTAGGTACTCAGAAGATTACTTAGTGTAGTGACTGCCTTGCTCTAAGCGTAAAGTGGTATCGCATGTCAGCTGTCGCATGTGAGCTGCTGGTCTCCCCTTACGTTGAGCACGACAGTTTGTGAGAAGAACTGCCTGAATGGCTCAACATCAGTACTACTAGGTTCCAGAAGTTTGATTTTCATTTTTGTTCTGGAGCTGGACATAAGTACTTACATTATCAATTTTCCAGCTTCGATTGGCAATGGATGCATCTGCATTCGCATTGGTTAGTCACCGGACATTAAATTTTGTCTTCAAACGTTTTCGGCATCGGAATGTCTGGATCATGATCATGATCATCATCATCTTTTTTGATCATTCATCAGGTTCTCTTGAGATGAAGCCGGAGTTAGTAATATCGCATGCACATTCTATTTCTTTACTCACACAAAAGGTGCTCCGTCCTCGCCCCCTTGAACCATAATGGAAAATCGTGTCCGTGTCCTCGCTCGTGGTTTGCACTGTCCACCCTGCAAACAAAGTGATATGCGAGTTGCGGGCGAACACTCTTCATGCCGAAAAGCTGGCAGCTCGGCGATGAGTTAACTTCATCTCCGTTGTTTTTTGAATAATTTCTGTGCCGGTGATTGTATGAGATTTCGAATGTAGTTTCGAAATTATTCCTTCTGCTCATACAGACACTGACTCCTGTTTCCGCCCCCTGTCAAGAATCGTTTACTACATCAAAGCACCACCAGCAAAAGCGAACTTTTAACAAGTGCGTGCCGCCACCATGAACATAGTGCCGCGAACTTTTACTTTTTGGTCATCTGCGAAGTGCCGCATCATACGTAGAAGTCACGTAAGAACACATTACTTGCTACAACAACCTAAGTACTTACTGCAATCAGCGCCGCCGGGGCCAGTCTGCAAAATGGTTAAAGCGACGATCTTCACGCGTTATCGCTTTCCGCATCGTCCTCATCGGTCTCGTCGTTGTCATCGATGGCGCCGTGTATGAGTTCGTAGATTCCGTGCTGCACCATATCCTCCAAATTTGCCAGCTCCCGCTTTTTATTTGAGTTATCGTAGGACTGTACATAGTTCATCTCATTTGCCCGCTTGTCGTGCGAGGCATCGACCCGCTTGATCAACAGTTCCTCGATCTCCTTCCGCAAAAAGCGTATCAGCAAAACCGTTTCGGGGTCCGAGCAGTCAAATTTGCAAAGACAGTGTTGCCCAAGAACCAAACTGTTCCCCAGATAGGTCATAATGGTGTCGTTCTTTCTCTTTTTGCTGCTTGTTCTCGACGTCGTTGCACTCAAGACGGTGGAAGAACCTGGAGGTACAGCTGCACCTCCACCAGCGGTAAGGGACGTCAGCCTGACCGGTTCTTTCTCCCTCTTCACGGTGGCGCGCAGTTTCGCGCTGCCGAAGAGCAGCAGTATCGTGGACGTGACGCAGCTCGTGTCGAAAAGGTACAGCTTCGAGGTGTGCATCATTTTGTAGTACAGCAGCCAACTATGGTTCGCGTCCAGCCGGTCAGCCTGCCGGTTGAAAGACGATGGGTGAATGGTTGCGGTACAGGCATTGGTGTTGTTCTTGTTCTGCTGCTCTTGTTGATCCCCTGCATTGATGATGTTTTTGCTATTTAATGGATGAACTCCACCTGCTGCATGATGACCCAATTTCTGCTGCTCCACGAGTTCGATCGGAACGATGGCCATTTCCGTCCGCATGTGACTGCTCTTCCCGCCGCGCCTGGCCCCGCCAAACTTGGAGTCGCGCTGCACTTGGGCCACCTGCGGAAAGAACGCCGCCGTCACCGCACACAGCGTCATCAAGCTGGCAAACTCCGCTTCCTTTCCCGCCTGCGCAATCTGTTTCGGCGCGGACCCACGGTTTTCCAGGCGCCGTGCGTCGGGAAGGGTGTCGCTGAACCCGATGTCCTTCAATTTTCCGGTTAAGGTGTTCCGCAGATTCCAGATGTCATTTAACACGTTCGGGTTCAGTCCGTAGTGGTGACAAAAGTTACCGCATCCTGAGCAAAAATGATCCTGATCCCCCCTCCCCATAGAGTAGACATGGTAAGTACTCAAGAGATATACCTGTGGCGCTCCTCTGTGGGCGCAGACAGAGATCGACTCGGTTTTTTTCAGGGAAGCGATAGCAAAAATCCCACAAGTCTCCCACCCAACGCCTTACGCAGGCGATTTCTCATGCTACGCGTTGGGGCTACAGCAAAGACGTCGTAAAGAACAGCTACGACTACACTCAACGGGCCCTACTAGGCTAGCATGCTGGGCATCTTGTTCTAGCTGCAGCCCCTCAACACTGCAAGACAACAATAAAACTGATCTGTGTAGAACTTACGCAAGAACTCCAGCATCACCATCACCAGAACCTTTGTTTTCTTTCGAAAAGTGAAGGGGTTTCAGTTTATTTTTCCATTTTGATATAGCAGCCTCCGAATACCCGTGCTCCTCGTACCTTTCCACCCATTCGTCGTACGCCCGACACAGCGCCAGGTGGTCGGAGTTTTCTCCGGTCTTTCGGAACCCGAACAACTGGCCCTGGAGGTCCTCGATGTTTTTTTCCTGCGGCATCCACAACTTGCGAAACGGGGTCTTCCCGAGACTCAAACTCGCAGCTAAGGTGAGCCCGTTGCTCGATGCACCCAAAATGCAAGCCATCAGCAGCAACTTCCCGATTTGCGGCTCCAAAGGCAGATCCTGCAGGTGGAACCCCAGCGGGGACAAAAAGAGTAAGTCCGGGGCGGCTAGTACGCCCCCGGTCGTGGGGCTGCTTGTTGATGGCGGTGCAGCTCCTGTTGGCTTGCCCTTGTCGTTCTTTGATGTCCCGTAGGAGGTTTTCAAAACATCACTCCTGTCAACATTTATTTTTGGAACGATTTCTTTTCTGTCGTTTTCGATCACGTCGAGGGCGCCAAGCTGAATGAGTCGACTCTGCGCCGCCTGCACGGCCTCATGCTCGGGCGGCTCCGGCGCGTTTTGAAGAAAGCTCGGAATGTCATCGACCGTGAAATCGTATTCCTGGCTGACAAACCGCTCCTCTGCTCGTCGTGAATCCTCTTCGTTGTGCAGCTGATGCCCCCGGGCCGCAGCAGCAGCCTGAGGAGCTCGTCCTGGTGCAGAATTTGATGTTTTTATTGCGCCAGTAGAAGTTCTTGGACTAGTACTTGATCCCAGCGGCGGCAGCAACTGCGCCAGGTGCAGCACCAAGTCCTCGAGCTGTGTGCGCTGCATCTCCGGCAACGAGTGCGGGGGCAGCTTCTCGTCGTGGAACTTTTCGTCGTACAGCCGCCAGTTCCGCCCGGGACACACGCGCCCGGCGCGCCCGCCGCGCTGCTTGGCCATGGCCTGGGACACGTACACGCAGGTCAGCGACTTCATCTGCTTCGCGTGCTCGTACCGGGCCTCGTTCAGCATGCCGGTGTCAATCACGTCCGTTACGTCCGCCACCGTGATGCTCGTCTCCGCAATGTTCGTCGCGACAATCAACTATGCAGTACAACAACATATTATGTCTGGTGTTCTGGATGAAAGCACGGAACTTGTTGTGTTGCAGCTTTTTGCATGCCAGAGCGTAGTTGTTTCGTTGCACGGCAGTAGAGCATAACAATTTTTAGTTTTTCTGGTCACCTTAAAAATATGCTGCGGATTTATTCGCAAATGGCATGAGAGACTCCCTCCCAGGACGACAAAGAGAAAGAACAAAAAGCGACCTGATACTCTTCATACAATACAACTTCTTTTTCTTTATCCTTAAAACGCCGCATGATAAATCCAGACCACGACAGACATCTTTTCCACACATATCACACGAATGGCAGGCTGCGGGTCACTTGGGCTCGCGGTGTCGAAGACGTATCTCTGCTTCCGAGGTTCCACTTGCGCGTGCAACGGAAGAAACTGCAACCCACCGTACTGCTATGCAAGAAAAAAACTGTGTAATGTATAATGCAAAGGATGCGAAAAACAACACAGTTATACTTTTCTTTCATGCTGGCCAGCCATGATGTCCGCTCTACTTCATACGTGTTTTATTCCTTTTCACGTACTAACTATGCATGGCAGGCTTTCTGTGTTAACATCATGCAAAGCAAATTTATTGTCATGCTGTCACTCCAAGTAGAAGACACGACCTACACTAAACACAGTTTTTTTCTTGGATAACTGCAGCTGGTGGGGGGTTACCTTGCCGGAGCTCCCGGCCCTCGTCCCGGACACCTCATCGGCCAGCCGCGCCACGGTTCGGCCCCGGTCGCAGGGCTTCTGCAGGTGTCGCAGCGTCCTGCAGTCGGTTAGCTCTCGGACCAAGAAGTCGATTTCGAACGCGCCAGGCGCAAAGATCAGAATCCCGGGCCGCTGAATCTGGTCGCGCGTCACCAAGCTGCGGTTTTCCAGCTGATTCCTGTAGTTTTCAGCCAGCGCCTCGATAATATCCGCGATTTGCGCCGCCATCTCCGCAGTGACAGCGCCGCCGTCTTTCCGATTGCCACTCTTCTGCACCTCGGGCGAAAGCTTCGGCCGGGGAAAGGGCTGAAAGTTATTTTTACCATTTGTTCCACCTGGCTGCTTAAGCGGGTTCTGGAACACGGATGTTGCAGCTCCGTGACTATTTCGCGACAGCGCCGGATTCGTCTGGCAGTCCCGGCACTCCTGCGCTACCCGACCGATTTCTCGCTGCCAAATCGTCTGCACGGGAAACGTACGTCCCTCGATCGACACGGTGGCCATCTTCTTGCTCGTCATCCGAAGGGGGGCAGTAGAGGAGCCTCCTGTGCTGTTCACCAGTTGTACCGAGAAATCATTGTGAGGCTGGAAAGACGAACTGAAGTAGTCCTCAAACAATTTGGTGTCCACCGTGGCGGACATGAGGATCACTTTGATCTTTTTGTTCTTCACTAAGATGACCTTGCGCAGCAGCGTGAGCAAAAAATCGATGTGCAGACTGCGCTCGTGGACCTCGTCAATGATCAAGTGGGAGACGTCGTGCAGGAAGGGCGAGCTCGTCAGTTTCTGCAGCACCACGCCCGTGGTGCAGAACAGCACCCGGGTCTTCCGCGGGTGGCACTTGGAGTCGCCCCGGACTGCGTACCCCACGGTCTCGCCGCACTGCTCCCCCCGCTCCGCGGCCGCGCGGTCGGCCACGCCCATCGCGGCGATCCGCCGCGGCTGGCAGCAAATGACGTTCAGCGGCGGGGTAGAACCCAGGTCGTCCTGCTCCTTCAGCTGTTCGCAAAAGTCCTCCAGAACGAATTGCGGCACCTGGGTCGTCTTTCCGCTCCCCGTCGCGCCCGCCACCAGCACAACACGCGAGCACGGGCTAGTACTTGCCGAACTTTGATGTCTTTGGCCGTCGCGCGCAGATTGTTGTTCATGAACATCTTCTGCCAGTCCACGACTATCGGACGCGTTTATGGCCGCCATGATCTCCTGCCTCTTCAGATGCGCGGGGAGGGTTTGCGTCTCCTCGAACCGTCGGCGCACCCTTTTGGCTTCCTCGTGCCGATACAGTAGCTCCTCGTTGATCCACTTGAACTTCTCGTAGTTTCGGTTGTACAGGTCTGGTTCATCACCGCCTTCCTCGTAGTTGTTGCCGCTGTGCGGCGCCCAGTCTTGGCCGAATCCGTGCTCGAAGTTGCCGTGGCGCCGTAAATTCGCGCGCAGCTTCTCGTCCCGCTTTCGCAACTTGTCCACTTCGGTCTCTATCGGCCCGTCGTCCTCCTCCTCGTCTGAAGAGTTGTTCTCCAGTAGATCCTATCAAATGCAAATAAATATGTCTGCGCCTGGAAGAGTCAGTGTACTATGTCAGGCTAGGTCCTCCTCTAGGTGACACTGAAATCCGCATCGCGTGAGCAGCGAGAAAAACTACCCACTTCAGGGCGCCCGAGGATGTCACTTCTCACGCTGGATAGGCGTTGAGGAGCCTCCTCAAAACTACTACTTGTGAGTGATGCTACAGCTCGCTATTCAACAGATGACCCTCTGGGCCATGAAAAACCTGAGTGAGAAATCTTGCAACATTTTTCCGGACCGCCCAGACATCAACATATTTGCAATTGATAGATCCGATGACGGCGGTGCTGTAGATGGTGTCGCGTTAAAAACGTCGTGGTTTTTACCAGGAGGCGAGGCCGTAGTGCTTGTACTTGTGGTCGCTGTTTTAATATTCTGTGTCGCTCCTGCCTTCAGTTCTTGCTTCGTGAGCCCGGGTTTCGTACCGCTCAAACCAGGCCCACTCGTCTTGGCAACAGAATGAAAAACGATCGCAGAATCGTCGGGCACCTGCATTAACCCGTCGTCGGTCAACAGCACACTGTTGTCGCTCAAATAACGATATCAAATTTGCAAAAAATATCTGGCGCCGGGTCTAAATGATGGTGCAGTGGTAAAACCAGCATCATGTGTGCAGTAGTGCAACCAAACTTCAACTCGTTCACATTACAGTCACTGTTACAGAATCAGAAACAAATAGAAATACGAAAATAACCTTGCAGCACGCATCACTGAAAAAATGCAGAAAGATGACACAGGAGACCGGAGCTTTGCATCCATATCAAAATCAACCCTCGCAGAGTCAATCGATATTTAGAGGGAAGGGATGCAATGATCATACAGACAGCACACAGAAGAAGATAATTACACAATCTTCGCAGATATCAATTTGCAGTGGATATCGGAAACAACGTTTTGACCCGAACCGAGAATTTTTTTCGTGCTGCTTCCGCCAACGCCTGAACCCCGTCGGACCGCTTCCATACCACGGTCTTGACTCCCACGGCCGCCGCGGCTTTCAGTGTTCGGTCGCCCGTGCTGCAGCTCAGGCGTAACCGCACGGCCTCTTGCAAGCGCTGATAAATCACGCCCCCGTCCGTCGTGCCACTGAGAATCTGGGTAGTTGTGCCAAGGTTTACTACTGGTCTACTTGAGGTGGAAGAGGAGGAGCCCAACGCCGTGTTCTTGCCTGTGACTTGTCGTTCCCCTGTAGTTGTACTAGCTAAGCCGGCCAAGGCTCCTGGGGGTGGCTGTATCGGTTCTCGGGTGATCAACTGGCTCCCCGCCCACTTTTCCGCGTCTCGGTACAACTGCCGCATCAGCCGTCGGTTGGCCCGCTCCTCCTCCTTTTGCTTGGCCTTGGCTTCCTGTTTCGACATGCGCCCGTTTCTACAATCGTCTCCCTCCAGCATGTCCAGTAACGAGTTCGAGGAGCTCGAGGCGGTCGCAATGGCTGCACTAGGCTGTGCCTGTGGCTGCGACTGTGGCAGCCCCCCCTTCTGCTTCTTTCGTTTTTCCCCGGAGGGCATCGGCTCGCCCCGCGCTCGCATGCATCTCTTGATCAGGTTCAGAATCAGAGCCCGCTTCGTATCATCCAGAACGACCTTGCTGGGCCGCACTGTCCGCGGGGGCCGCTGGTTCTGGCTCCGGGAAGACGTCGTCGGACCATTGGCGGAAGAACTCGACGCCCCAGCCCCTCCTCCGGAGGCCTTTTTGTTCTTTTTGCCCGCTTTATTGGTCATGCTGTTTAATTCGAAGGGCCGTCGTGATATTAGAATGTGAATGAATAAACAAGGTGTTTAAAAATAAACTTGTTCTGTCTGCGAGGTGGGAACAAATGCATTCTTGATAGAAAAGCATGTGTGTGTAGAAATGTCAACAAAAGCGGCTGAAAAGGAGAGTGAGAATGAGAAAAACGGATACTTACTAAAAAAAAACTCTACTTCTTGTCCAACACGAAACCACTGCCAGAGGACATCTACCTAAGTAAACACATGGAATAGGAACTGCGAGATATGCTGCTAATCGCGCTTTAGAGATGCACGGTTTCGGACAACGCCGCATTAAGTACCCGCATTCACATGATGTGTAGAACATGGTAGTGCGCGAGTCAGCCCGCCAACCTCAAGTGTCTGACTACAAGTGAAACATCTGTACCGACGCTTGAATTTCAAAAATAGCGGACCTGATGGACAAGATCAACACCTTCCACCCACGTTCTTGAGTGTTGATCTCTAGGAGGTGACTTCTTCCGGACCTATGCGATGCTGTGCCGTTCGAACTGCAGCAGGCCATGCAGAATTAGCATGCATGAAGGACGCAATGAAATAAGTTGTAGAGCCAAATAAGTAAGTAAATAGGACATCATGCTGCAGTGACGATCACGATGATCTGCATTTTTACGCTTTGACATGAGGCCAGAACGACGCATGATGCAGAAGGAGAGGTTATTTTTCTGGCACTGAGGTCAATCACCACAAACCTCGAGATTCCATTCGATAATTGATGTCGCTGATTGATTCATTTTTATGGATGCGCGGGGGCGTGACGTTCTCTATTTCCGGCGTCGAAGTCGCCAACACTACATACTATGTCGCGTACTTCTGCATTTCGACTCAGACGTCCAAAGGGTCGCCAGTGCGAAGCAGCTACTATCAACTCGCATGTATGTAGTCAGTTAACACCTGTAGATGTAGTAGACTCCAGCAAGCAGCGTCGTCCGACTCCTGAAGAGTGCGCCGTCGCTTCGCGAAGGCGAGATGAAAACGAGTGTCGCTTTGTCGGCGTACAAGAAATTCCACAACAGCACCGTCGGAAAAGACGTGGCACAGTACATGTGGAACACTTCTGTTTATGATTTCACGCCTTCACTTACTCCGTTTACTGTTCCCACCCCCGCCACCTCCCCCGCCGGAGTGGTTGTGTGTTGACGCGTGCCAGCCTGGGGATTTATCAGAGTGAAAAATACAATTAAGTACTGCTGCTCTCCCGACACCCCCAGAAAGATGGGATCAAATATCCTCAGAGTTGTCCTTTTGCGAAAGAAAGAGAAACGCAAGAACCTACGTACCACCTTTGCAAAAATGCATAATTATCCTTCTGACTGGGGGGCGCGGGGATAAGTACAGCTTCTTTGTTATATTTTTCATCAAATTCATAGTATTCTGCTCTGCTCTTCAGTTCCCGCATGTCCGTCCGGTGCTGTTTCACGCGTTGCTCCACCCCCTGCTCGATGTCGCTGAGCCACAGATGCACGAGCAGAATTGCTAGCAGCACGCCGGCTACTAGAAATAGCATTAGGCAAAAGCAAACCACGTAGAAGCTAAACCTGAGATTCATTTGAAGTATAGATAAAAGTAGATAATGTTAATGATAAGATAAATATAAATTTGCATGGCATCTATGCAACTAAAAACTTGTACTTGACATTCAGATTACCAAATGCACTATCATCAGGCGGGTGACGCACCGCACAGCTTTAAACTCACTTCTTACCAGTAGTTCTGTATTAACCAGGCGAAGACCAGGACACCAAAGAAGAGAGCGACAAAGGCGGATGTGACCTTTGGCATCACGGACCCAAACACGTCAAGTACTATCGCATACAGGAAAAACGTGTCGGTCAGCACCACGGAAACCAGCTGCAGCCCGAGGTAGCTGAAGTGGAGGTGGTAAATAAGGTTTGCATATCACAGAGAACAAACTGACGTGGAACAATGTCCTCACAGTCAATCTTCAGACAGAGTTTCTGTTTGTAGTGTTACAATGACAAAAATTTGTCCGAAGCAGCAAAAGCCTTATTTCGAAAAAAACATTTCTGCGGAAAAATGTTAAATACAGCAGAAAGAGTCCCGCGTAGAGCCCCATCGCTTGGAACATCAATTTTTGCTGTTGCTCCTCGCTGACGGCGTCCATGCTACCCGCCTGCACGAGAAATTTGCCCTCGCGTATGGCGGTAATCCCCCCGCATTTTTGTATGCAGAACCCGATAAAACCACCATCGACCAGGATGGCCAGGAGGTACAGGTAGTAAAAGGAACAAACGTAGGAGATAACGCCGGCGATGCAGACTTTGAATATCAAATGCAAAAATGTCTGGGTCTGGAGGATGGTGACTTGTCATGGTAAATCTGCAGCATACAAAAATCTGTGTTGCATGAGTGCCAAAAGCTGTCCACTTTCGACCAAGTTGGGAAGGAGTTTCTCATGCAGGAATGGCAAGGCAGAGCCCTCGCAGAGTCTGTCATGCTAAGTCCCGCATTCCAGGCCTCATGGGCCATGGAGAATCTGCATAACAAGTTTACACTCTCCCAGACCCAGACATTTTTGCACTTGATATTGAAGAGAAAGCTGCAGTAGGGGCCGAGCAGAAAACTCGTCGCCAGCGTCCAGAGCTTGTCGTCGATGCGCTCCGGCCCGATGTCAAACCCGAGCTTGTCGTAGGCTTTCCTTCGCTCGGCGTTGGACAAGATGTCGTACGTATCAAAGGGAAAAGTCTCCCTATGTTTCCGAGAACTTGCGTTGCTGATTTGTGACCACAAATCGGGTCTGTCTTGCAAGAAGGCACCCTCAGGCTGTCCGCCACATTATGCAGGCGCTTTGTGATGCTGTAAGGCCTACAGGGTAGCCGTCTGCCATGCTGGGCGCCTACACCAGAAGGCCCCCGCCTAGGCTCAGGATCTGCGTGCATTCCTCTACTGCAATACAAATTTGATTTGTGTACACAAATCCAGCATCAGAAATTCCGTTTTGATATGGGGAGGGGGGATTTTCCCTTTCGATAGTACGCATCTTTTAACTGCGTGAACGACGTCTGGTCCCCGCCCTGCTTGTCCGGGTGGAAACGGAGGCTCTGCCTCAGAAGAGTTTTTTAAGTATTTTTATGGAATTCATACATAATCATGTGCAGTCGCAAAGAGTTATTCGTGAGTCTGCCCAAGCAAATGCTGGAATAAGTACAAACAACTGAAGCAAAAATTGTAAGCTAGTACTTTTTGTAAGCCTTTTTGATATCCTCTTCCGAGCAGTCGAGTGATACGCCCAGCGTGTCATACGCGTCTACCCAGGGTAGACGCGTCATTTCCGCTTAGTTCTGTCAGTCTCCGGCGCAGGAGATTTCGACGAAACTCGACGATTTGGACGACCTCGCAGATCAGCTCTACTGGTACAAGACCACAGGCACGCCGGGCGCGTTAATCCGAAACGTTCCTTCTGGAGGACAACGACCAATTCAGAAGTTACCCTGCCTCGAATCGAGCGCCCTACTGAAAGCGGCACTTTTCCAGCGCGTGAAGGACGGGCGCAACAACGAAGGCTGGTATTGTAGATACTATACAGGTCGTACACGACAAAAGCGCTCTGCTTATTTGAAGGCGGATTTTTTCTCAATATTTTTCCAATGTCAGCTACTTGGTCGCAGCCGGCTAAAAAGGTCGTGTTCGTAATCCGCAATTCCGCGTCTGCTGCAGATCTTCAGCCTCCTCCACCGGTGAATATCGATTCTGCCTGTATCAAGAAATCTGACACCAGTAGTACAGCCCCTTGGCTTCTTGGCGATTGCGCTCCAGGGTGAGCCGAGCTCCACTCCTCACCCCTGCCGCAGGCGCCCAGATACCGACGTAGTCAGACGCCAAGGGACTTTTTCGTACTTTCCGCATGCTCCCAGTCAGCTGCGTTCCTTTTCATCCTGTTGCCGTAACATAAGCATTGGAATTGAACTGATGTTAAACAACGCCGGTTTTTTGAAAAAATAACAATGAGTCCTGAAGCAAGCGCCAAGCGACACTACTAACGAGAACAAAAAAAATAAATGAAGTACTAAGGCCACCTGTCCTCGTAAGATGATCGCTGTTTACTAAAGAATTTAAGTAAATGCGAGTTCCAATCCAGTCGCAGGGAAAGACACTGACGGATCTGATTCGCATGAAAAGCCTAAGCCGCACGGAAAATAAACAAAACAAGACCAGGCAGTGGCACTTTCACTTTGTCTTTGACTTTCGCTTTTTACACAAATCAAAACTGCTACTGCAGCTTGGGCCGCACTTTTGTTGCGAAATTTTCCCACTCCGCAAAAACCTTGATCCCAGCATCGAAGAAGATCCCGATCGTTTACACTACACTGCATCTGCCTTCCAGATCGTGGCATCAAGCTGAAAGGTATAAAAAAAGTAAAAAGGGCAATACGGATCTGTTCTTTTCTTTTCTTACTCTTAGAAGATCCTGGCGGCTTTGATGCCGGTTTGTGGTCTAAAGCTTGTATGGGCTCGTTTCTTTTCTTGCTGTTTCTTCTAGAGAAAATGATGAACGCAGTCAATTTGCGAAGAACAAACGCCACAGACTGTACGTCCATACTTCTACTTGCCTACGCGATGTTTCTCGTCTCCTGCATCGACATCGCGATTCTTGCAGTAAATCACGATATGGATATTGCCGATTAGATGAATACGTCCACAATTCGCTCTAGGTAGGGTTCGACAAAGTGTTTCGCCAAAGCCTGATACCAAGCCAAGTCTCGAGGACGGAGCCGGGACGAGCGATTCCCTCGCACATCCCCCGCAGGCGGCTCCTTGGCAAAATAGAAGCAAAATTCGAAGAAGCTCGTGCGAAGGAATGGTTGACTGCTTCGTGGTTTGCAGCTCGTGTGCGTGACACATACCGTCACACGGACTACTTCACCCGTCGGCCCCGTGGTGGTCCTACTAGATGAACTGGTATTCTTGTTCAGAAAACTACCCCGTCCACCTCCTCGCAGTCCTCCTCTAGTACTACTATTTCCTTTCATACCGAAAAGCCCCCCAATGCCGTTGGTCGTCTCGACCTGCGAGGGGAGCGGTGATGTTGATGAACTACCGCAGAAGTCTAGCTCCCAACAAGAAACCATTTTGAAACTCGGCTCCTTTCTGGTGGTCGGGCATAATTGTTGTCCATGCGGAACAAGGGCGGGAAGCTGCGGCTGCCTGTTCGTGGTCGCATAAAGAGATGAAGCAAGAGCACCAGGGACAAGCTTAGTAGTTGCAGACGACGCAGAACTTGTTCCAAGAACCGCGTCCTGCCTAGGATCTTCTTCCGGAAACAAGTTCGCTCTCGGTGGCGTGTGCAACGTGGAAGCCGGCGCACCCAGCTCCTCCTCAAACTGCTCTGGGGGAGAGGAGGAGGACAGCCTCAGCTTCTTCCGCAGTCTCGTCTTCGTGGGCGATGGCGTCGGAAGTTATCCAGATTCAGAACAGCTGCAAGAACACCCTAGCTCTACCTCTACGTACCGAGCTCGTACTTACATCTACACATGTTATACATGTAGACGTTTAGCTTATCACCACAGACCAAGTGATGTGATGATGTTCATCTAAAGGAAAACACACAGATTCATGTCACGACGGTAGCGAATAAAGTGGAACCAAACCCTATTACAAGCTGCACATCTGCTCAAGTAGATGAACGCTGGTGCGTATCTGTAGGCTGGTGCGATGTTCATGTTCTGTGCACGGATAGCAAAGGATGCGGATTTGTGTCCTCCCGCTCCGAGGACAAATCGGGGGAATTGTATGCGCTTCCCTTACTCGCTTGCAGCGGGTGGTTGACACCCCGGAGCTTTACTTCCTGCTTCACCGGCGTCGCCAGTTGCTGGACAGTGCCTGCTCCACCTGCAGCGTCCGTACTATAATTTGTCACCCTGACAACAGGGCCTGTGCCTGGTGCAGTCGCACTCGCACCGGCAACCGCAACCTCCGGCGGTCGCATTACGTCGTCAATGAAAACAGCGAGCTGCCGCTCCTCTTCGAACGCCTGTCTTTCCTCCCGCCTCAGCACCTCGTCCCGCCCCGCTTTCTCCCGGGCAAACCGCAGGAGATGCAGGAAGGAACGGACCTTTTTCGAACATGTTAATAAACCGCTCGTGGTGGCGCAAAATCGTCCCTCTTCCTCCGAGGACACTATGCTCTTTTGTATGAATCGGTCGGACAGAAGGACCCGCTCATCTGCGCCGCCGGTGGCGCTTTCATCATCCAATTTGTGTGCAAATCGAGGTTCCGCCCACAACTTCCGCACGATCGCGACCTCAGCCCCCACGATGCGATCTAGCAGCTCCACTTCCCAATTTTGGACGAAGAAGTGCGACGCAGATAGCGCTACTGTGTGAAGTGGGCCAGGAACAGAAACAGGGGGACCAGAGAAATCGCCACCGTCTCGAGCTGCTGTTCTTTCGTCAGACGAGAGCCCCAAGAGCTCCTCACAGGAAACAAACTGCCGCCACTCTCTTGCCACGACGCTCTTGCAGTGCTTCAGCAACGAGTCGCTGTTCGCCTCTTGTTGTGCTGCAGTCGGCATAATTGTGGTAGCCTTTCCATCATCTGCAATTTTTCCGTTCTCCTCCAACAGAAAAGAAACAACGATAGAATTGTGACCCGGTGCGGGCACTGTCGCTGATCCTGTAGTTGCGAAGCGCTCCTGGAGCGGGCCACGACCATCTCCCTCCTGCTGTTTGACAACTGTGTCAGGGCGAGGCAACAGCGGATCATCATGCTCCTGTGGTGGCACGACCTCCCCGTTCCTTCCGTCTCTGCTTTCAACGTCTACTTGGTGTCTCTGCTGCTTGCTCGTCTCTACTACCCGTGCTGTTCCTTGCACCTGTTGCTGCCTCAGGCAGAGCAGTTTTCGCACTGCAGCCTGGCAATACACGCGTATATTCACCAGCAGGCAGGGTTTTCTCACCAAACGCTGCCCGTTTTCCTCCTGGCGGGGCTCGTCGCCTTTTCCGTTTGCTTCAAATTTTGGCTCTCCTTCAAGTTCAACTCCCTCGTCCTCTCCATTCGAGCAAACAGGCGTTACGACGACGGGCACGACTTGGTGAGATGCCAGCGCGTGCTCTTCCGGTCCGAACAAACCGAAGGTGTCCCTTTCGCCAGCCTTTTGCGCGAGCTGGAGAAATGGGTCCAGCGACGAACCGTCGAAACAAGAGAAAAAAGAGCTTGCTGCGAACACAAACTTCCTCCCGCTCTGATTCCGCGTGCTCAGAAAGCAACCCAGCACCTTCTTGCGATTTTCCACTCGCCCGGTAACAAGATCTTCGTACCCTTGCATCAGCCTGGATACAAAATCTGGTTTGTGTTCGTCCGAAGCTTTCTGCAGACCCGCGATCAGGTCAGAAAATGCCTGTTGCACTGAAGACGGCGCCGAGATAATATTAAGCGTTGTTCTTCGTAGTATGGCGGAGCAGAAAAAAGGCAGAACGTCACGTCGTGCACAGATTCGGTTTCGGACCCAGAACATGATTCTTGAATGCTTTTTTACACATGGACTCGGACATGCGAGAGAAACAAGATCACACAACCTTAGCTTCCATAGAGTCGTCGTGCACCAATGATTTTGTGCGATTTAATTCAACCGGAATGGCGTGCTCTTTTTTTCAATGTGATAGGCAGTTCTTCCGTTGTCTTCCCCAGAACGCCGTCGACAATTGCGGTGTAAAACGTTTCCAAGAAGCTCCCTAAAACAGCTAAAGCCGCAGTGGACGTCATACCACCTGGCGATGCAGCGGACAAATCTAGGGCTTGCAGTCCTCCCTTCAGATCTCGCATAATCCTCTTTCGCAAACGTAATTCCACTGAAGGGGAGTTATCATCAACATCTTCGCCGTTGCGCAAAACAGGATGAAAGCCAGCATCTTCTGAATCATCGTGCGCACGAGGAGGACCGGGCGAGGAAGTGCTGGTGCTCCTGCTGCGCGGCAGCAGCAGAACCACGAGGAGCCTACTGAAGGGCAAAAGCATACCCACATTTGCAAAGCCGGCGTCTCCTTTTCTTGGTCTCGGAGTTGTTCTAGTCGTTGCTGCAGAACTGGACCACAACTCTTCCGCACTCCACGAATCAAAGAAAAGCAGGCCGCCTGGCGGCACGACCCTTTGATGTTCGGCGAAAGTAGAACTCCGGAAAAATCCGTTCTCCTGTAGTCCTCCCGGTGCCGTGGCTGCCACGGCCGCCTCTGGTCGTCCCAGCGCCGTACCAGCACTACAACTGTCTCGTCCGCCACGAAGAGCCTTGAGTCCGCCCTTCGTCGAGTTGAAGAGCGCATGGTACAGAGACGACTCAGCGAAGGACTTGGGCGGCACGTCCTTCTGGTGCGAATAAACCACAGTGCCGGAGTCCGCGTCGAGAAGCTGAAGAAGGTACATACTTACGTTCTTGCTCGCGCCCGATTTATCTTTTCTCCGCACTCACAAAAATTCTTTACCGACCAAAGACTTACTCGGAACGCACGCGTGACGACCAGGTCATCTACATGATCTCTGATTTAGCTACAAAGGAACTCACTTGAGATTTCGAAACGACCATCGAAAAAATGCCAATCACCTTGATCTACTCGCACCAGGCCAAGAAGAACAGGAGTTTGCCACGATTTATAAAGCCTGATCTTCGAGCCTTCCATCTTGGGAGGACGGTCGTCCCCTGTGGTTCAGCATCTTCCTTCATCAGTACCACCTATGCTGTTGTTAGTCATGAAGTAGATGCAACGAAGAACAAAACAAATGTCGATCCGCTTGTGCTCTTGCTCTTGTACAGTCGGAGTTGTCCTCCGAATGACAGTAGTCCGCATGAGTTGGTTTTCTTCCTTCACTTTCACCGCCAAGAGTACTCCGTCCAGGAGCAGGGCCTGGGCGAAAAATAAAACCTAGGAAAATGATGACATCAATCAGGGAGATGGAGTTGAAACAGGGCAGTATCAAAATCCTCGTCGCAAAATAGATACTTACTTGTTTTATTCGTTTCTATAGTAAACCAGTAACGTGGTGCCAACAAATAAGCTGTCGATGGTTCTTACCCTACCGCAAGGTTGTTAAACCGCCAAGAACAGCTCCTACGCTGCGGATACAGTTGCGCCTGCGACCGAAGCGCTCTGGTCACCATACACCTTGGAGAGAATCTCCCGCAGCGACTGTTGCTGTTGTTCAACCTCCTCTTTCGATTCCAAACTCCTGCTTGTCGTACTACCTCCCGGCTCAGCTGCTGATGCAAGAACGACGTCCCCGTGGTCCTCGTCGCCGCTTCTGTTCTTGTTCGTGGCCAGGTGTTTCTTCCTTCGGTTCTTGACATCTTGCTTGATGTCGTGAACGATCCTCCCCTTGTCCATGATAAGAACCTGGTCAAACTGCGAAACAAACTCCAAGCGTATAAAATGCAAAAATGTCTGGATCTGGAAACTTGTAATGCTGTGTTGGGAATAGTGAATGCTCTGTAATGCACAGCCAAGCATGAGAAATATCTGCGCTTATTTGTGTTGCGTTTTTCGCATGAGAAACTGCGTTTTTGCATGACAGGCAACAGGGTCTCTTCTTGGACACGCATCACAAATTTTCTTATCATGCCAGACAAGCATGACATCGGTGATCTACGGGCAGGCTGTCCCGGCGGCGCTTTGGCCATAAGTACAGAGAAAAACAAAAAATAAAAAACAAGTGTAGGTAGATATACAAGTGAAGGTTATAAGGGAAAAATAAGTAATGCAGAGAAGACGAAAGTCGTAGAGGCAGAACTAAAGCTACACTTACGGGCATGGTCACGATTGGGCATTGGTGGGTAGAACGACGATATGTTACACTTCTATCAGCTGGTCAAGTACAAGGAAAACGAGAGCAGCATCGAAGAAGGGAAAAGCGCGCGTGCAGGGCAGCCCAGCAGCAGCAAAAAATGAAGACAAGAAGCAGACTACCGCCACCCGGGGTCCTACCCGACCGAAAACTGTACCGGTATGGGCCAACATACCACAAAAAGTACAGAAGCAGGGTAGGTGCTCGCGTAAAGAGAAAGATGACCGAACCTACAGCGCCCGAGGGTGCATGCTCACCACTGTAGGATAATCTCTTTACCGTCTGCCAGCAGACAAGCTGCTGAAAAACAAGGAAGTGCAAAGCAAAAAACAGGTTGGAGCCAGCAGGCCAACCGCATGACAAATCTCGCAATCTTCCAGACCCAGACATTTTTGCATTTGGTAAAGCGGTGCATGATCCAAATCACGGTGGTCTTCCTGCCCAGGATCCCGTCCAGTTGGTTCAAAATCAACTCTATCCTGTGCAAAAGTATCGTACTCGTAGTAATCGCAAGCATGCATTACAAATCTCCATCCCAAGGCAAAACAGCATGACAAATTCCATATGTCATGCTGAGCTAATTTGTATTGCAATTACTACTAGTACGATAATTTCGCAGTTCATAAGATCATGAATCTTCCGGTCGGTCTCCAAGTCGATGTTCGCAGTCGCCTCGTCGCACAGAATCAGGTCGACCTCATGTTGATCAGCATAACTAGAAGTAGTACTGGCATTTTTAATACCTACGCCAGCACTCGTGGAAGAAGTAGACGTTAGCAGCGCCCGGGCGATCGCAAACAGCTGTTTTTCCCCGGCGGAAAAATCCTCGTCCTCGGTGAGCACACGCTCTAAATTTTCGCCGAAGACCTCCTGCATCTTCCGCGGATCCAGACCGATGTGGGTGAGGATTTTGAGAATTTGCGCAGTGCGGCGCTCGAACGGGTCTTCCTCGTCCGGCTGTGCAGCTGCGAGCGTCTTTGGATCCTCATTATGTTGAAGATAAGGTCCTACGGTCGGAGCCGTTCTTGTTGTACCACTGCTTGTCGTGTTCTTAGCTCTTTCTACGACGTTCTGCCGTTTTTCATCATCATCTTCCTGATCGTTTATCTTTCCCTCGTCCTCTGTGTTACGTGCAGCTTCCGGGCCGATCATGTTCTCGCGAAACGAGATGCCTTTGATCAAAGCGGAATCCTGACTCACGACCCGAAAATTCTTCCGCCGAAATTCCGTCACTCGCGCTGGGTCCAATTGCAGCTGTCGCGGGGGCCCGTTATGATTTCTATTCGATGTCGTGTTGCTGTTGCCAATCAAACGGCAAGTAGCAGAATGATTTATTTTCCCACCACAACCATGATCCTCCTGCTGCAGCTGCTCGTGCTCATCGTCAATAACATCACTATTCTCCTCAAAGAAAAAGATCCCAGACGACGCTCCTCCACCCGGAGAGGAAGTGGAGGATTGTTTAATATCATAACCCTGCAGCATCGGAGCAGAGGGTGAAGAACTATTCGTGTTGTTGTAACTCCTGCTCGGTTATCAAATGTAAAAATGTCTGGGTCTGGAAGAATGCAAGTTTGTTATGCTTGTCTGGCATGATTCGAGAATCTGTGTTGCATAGGCACGAAAAGA